AAAATGGGCTGTGACTGAAAAATTCAGGGACTATCTCTTAGGTGCTAAATGTGTGGTATACACTGACAATAACCCCTTGAGTCACCTAAAGACAGCAAAGCTAGGATCCATCGAACAGCGATGGGCAGCAGAATTGGCACTCTTTGACCTGGAGATAAAATATCGCCCGGGGCGGTCCAATGGCAATGCGGACGCTTTATCAAGGAATCCTTACGAGAAACCGGGTGATGAGGAAGAAACGCTGACAGGAATATGTGAGGTCAGAGCGTCAACAGATATCCCACATGGGGTACAAGTGATGCAGAACGGGCAGACCGGGGTGGAGCACATATCCACAGAGCCCGAACATATGGACAGTAGTGATTTTAATTGCCTTAATCACAAAAAGATAAGAGATGCCCAGAGAACGGATAGTGGCTTACAACCGCTATGGAAATACGTCCAGGAACAAAAATTCCCAGGAAGAAGGGAAAGAGAACAATTTGGTCGAGAAACAAAGAAAATACTGAGTCAGTGGAACCGTCTCAGTATAGAGGATGGTGTTCTCATGCGGAGAATTCATGACCAAATTGATGGCACAATACACCAGGTGGTGGTGCCGGGACAATTACGAGAAGAAGTGCTAAGGTTGGCACATGACAGGGCAGGACACCAAGGTCAGGTGGTGGTGCCTGGACAGTTAAGAGAAGAAGTGCTAAGGTTGGCACATGACAGGGCAGGACACCAGGGTCAGGACAGGACGCACAAAATATTACGACGGAGGTGTTACTGGCCCAATATGGAAATGGAGGTCAAACGCCATTGTGAGGCTTGTGTGAGGTGTCAGCATGCGAAAATGCCAGTTGTCAAAATGAGACAGCCATCAGGACACCTACTAGCGACAAAACCACTAGAGATTGTGGCTATGGACTTTACGTCGTTGGAGCAAACATCGGATGGGACGGAACATGTGTTGGTAATGACTGATGTATTCACCAAATGGACTGTGGCGGTGCCCACACGAGATCAGACTGCCAAAACAGTGGCAAAGGTCTTATTAGAACATTGGTTCATCAAATATGGCATACCAAGACAATTACACTCTGACCAAGGAAGGGCTTTCGAGTCAGAAGTAATTAACCAACTGTGCAGCCACTACGGGATCAACAAATCTAGAACAACCACATTTAATCCGAAGGGAAACGGACAGTGTGAACGGTTCAACCGCAGCATGCATGATTTGCTGCGTACGTTAGAACCTGAACAGAAAAAACGTTGGCCTGATTTTCTACCAGAGTTGGTATATCTATACAACTGCACACCCCATGCCACAACCGGCTTTACGCCATACATGTTGCTGTTCGGACGAGAGGCTCGACTCCCTCTTGATTTGTTCCTAGGAAAAAGGGAGAGTATGACTGGCTCATACACCGCACTGGAATATGTGAATGAACATATGAGAAGAATTAGAGAAATGTACAGGGTAGTACAGGAAAGACTAGAACATGAATCTCGGCGAAGGGAACCGCCGATACAGACGAAGGACCCGCCACTCAAACTGAATGACAGGGTATTACTGCGTAGCCACCCGTTAGGCAGAAACAAAATCCACGATCTCTGGGGACAGGAGATATGGCAAGTCGTGGAGATGCCTAAAGCAGCAGGTGGCCCCTTTAAGATAAGACCCATCGATCACGCCAAACCGGATCGGTGGGCGAATATTGCTCAATTAAAGAAATATTGGAATAGGCAAGAAGAGCAGTTACACACAGAGAAACCCAAGACAATTAGGGAACCGGAAGTTATAACGGAAATTCACATACCCATTCCGGAACCATATCACCATCAACAGAACAACCGCGATACGCAAGGGGAGGATACCGGCAACAATGAGGATCCCGGTCCCTCCAGAAGCAGAGAGACAGTAGACCATCAGATAAGTGGTCCGCGGAGAAGTTTAAGGAACAGAAGGAATACGAAATTTTTTGTCAGCAACCATCAATTCTTTCATGGTCGCGCTGGTATGAAAACAGACTGTTCAAAGAGCTATAGAAGTGAACTGGTGAAGGCACCAAATGGAAAGGGTGGATGTGAATTCTAGAACTGTTTTGTGTCTCAGGAAGATGATGTAGACACAGTTGATATGTGAAATAGGTATAACTGTCAATCGTATACGAATGGAACGTCGTGGACAGTGAGTGGAACAATAAATTTTTTTTTTACGACTGTGCGATTGACTTTGGAGGAGTGCACCTGCCAGGCGTTGTTTGTGGTTGAAAACACACAAAAAAAGCAGGGGTGGATGTAACTGGGGTAGGCCTAACTACCAGTTACAAATGATAACGAACGAGAAGCCGCGACGCAGTATGAAATCTGACGCAACCATAACAGGTGGCTTATTGGATCGGTCTGATAACAGTCTCAAAGCCAACGCGTGCTATTTTGGGAAACGGTACGAGAAGTTTCAGACGAGCTGTCAACTTTGATGGATGGGACGCAGATGTTTTAGTGAATCGGACGGTACGTCAGAAACACTGCGACATTAGTATTCGGATACATCGATTACAAGTATCGATTACGGAAATGGAGACAAGTACGACTACGATTTCAAGGCATAAATAGGAGGGGACGGCAGAACTCGTCCTCTCTCTTCCCGTTTCGAGGCTCTTACCTCTTTCATCGCTCGCTTAGATCAGTCAGTCTGTGTGACTATGTCAAGTCGGTTATAGAACGGGTTAGCCGTATTGTGTTAAGGAGGATTATAGACATGTGGATTCAGTTATATGAAGCCTAGTGAAGGACTGTTAGGGGTCAGTTGATTCAGACTATTATTGAGAAGCATTCCTGTTGATTTATTGTGTTATTATGAAGCATTTCTTGATTCATGTAATAAAGGATCAATAGCGAACCTGCATCTTGAGTATCTATACTGTGGTCAATGTTGTCTAGAATGAGTGGTTAAACTCGTTAACACGTGGCACTACAGGCAATTAGGTCTCATTACATGTGGCGTTGCGAGCATGGTAACTGTTGGCTCGTTACAATTGGCGTTGTCGGCAGGATAAATGTTCGCTCGTCACATATATATATATATATATATATATATATATATATATATATATATATATATATATATATATATATATATATATATATATATATATATATATATATATATATATATGCGTGTGTATTTAAATATTGATTTGTGTGCTTTAAATATTCGTCCCGCATTTAGTCCCGCCACTTGTAATCATATTCCTACACAGCGTTTCGTTTTTTCCCCCCCATATTTGTGTAGAAAACGGCACAGTATTCAAGCTATCCAACATGATTCCTGTGTTACCAATTAGCTCATTTACAAAAAGCTTATCGTCGCCAGTTGTACCTGGCCGAGTTACCTGTGCCTGGTTTGATGAATACGCTGATTGTGTTAAATACACCAGTTCAATAACTTGTATCTGACAGGGCCTCCCCCATATGTATCACTCGAGTCATGTTAAACAACCATGTCCATTTGTAACGTAGGCCCTAGCCAGTCACAAACGTTGGTCCACAATGTTTTAGTGTCAGCCCGTGGTGGCGCTACTTGAAAGAGGTTTTGACATAATCAGTTCCGCACGTCGGCTTTTACATTCAAATTCTTTTCAGTTGCCGTACAAGTACGACGTTAACTGATATTCCAGATTGAGCTAGTCCGCGCCTTTATAAGTGTTGTGTTTACTGTAGCGCGTACATAGTAAAATAACAACACGTAACTGTTACCAGCCCAATGTTTATTCCCAGATAGACATTGTACGGTACGGTAGTCTCTAACATTTGACCAGTAACACACACGCTCTTCCTTACAGTGCTGTGTGGTGACTATGTACAATATCAGTTTATAGTCATAAGACTAGCATGTAAACCAACATTGTGACAGTTCATGTAAAATGTTCTCTTTTGCTCTTCCACTTGTTGCCAATAACGCAATGAATAACTTGAGTACAATGCTGTTGACTAGCCTATTCCTGTTACACCACTGATGGCATGCGCTGTTCCCGACAATATGCTATATGGGAAGTTGTCTTCTCTAATGTCTTTAAATCACTACATGGCGTCTTCTTCTACTAATACCACCTTTTCTCATCAAAATGCTACGGCTGAATGTTTTTGTTACTACTAGTCAAGCAAGAAACAGGTTTTCTTGGTCGCAGTGCACGATCCTCAATTGTTGAACAAATCTCCCGTGAAAGAAGCTGAACGCGGTGCTAGTTTGTAAGGTCACAATTTGAATGAAAGCAACCCTATGGTGTCTACCCAGTGTGTTTACTCCCGTCGTTAAATATAATTCCAACACTTGGTAAAGCATATTGTAAAACTCCTGTGTCCATTAATTTCTTTACTACCCAGCTGAAGATAATTATATGCGAACACAAACGTTTCTTTATTGTCGCATCAGCCTTTGGGTAAGGTCTGCAGTCAATATGGCCTGCAACTATATACCCCAGCGTATTCCTATTCTTCTTCGTTCTTAATTGTAATGTTGGATGGGATATTTCCTTTGTATTACGTAAAAGTTCCCTTTCAAACCTGACGGTCTATAGGGCAAGTGAAGTAGAGTTCACTTGTTTCTGTGACTTCGGCATATGGAGTGTTACGTGTCTACCTGTTTATGCACCACCAGTGTTTCTTCCAGACCTTTTTCTCCGGGGGGGGGGGGTGCCTTTTGAAATTTGGGGGGGGGGTCAACATTTTTCGGGGGGGGGGAGGGTGGACACTAGTAAAAGTAGAGTATGTTTACTATATAAAATCTATCTCGTTCGGGGGGGGGGGGGGGGGGGGGGGGCGCTCCTCTGCACCCCCCCCCCCCCCCCCCCCCCGAAGAGATGCCTAGAAGAAACTCTGTGCGCCACACTGACAATTGACTCCGATTTCAGCCTACTTTTCTCTTTGGATTTGTTTCCATAGCCTTTGTCCATCCATGAACAATCCATCGTGTTGAATGTCAACCATTTCTGTATACAAACCATAATTTTCAGGCTTCAAGAAAAGTCTCCAAGTGTGGCTACTTATTTATTTCACCCGGCTATGACTTCAGTAACCCGCTGGATAGGACGAGGGTGAGTAACGGCTGGCTTGTTTCGGGAAACATTTCTAATCTACCGAATGACACTGTTTTTTTTTTAACAAACGTTAAAAATAATTATTTTTAACTTGCAATTGACTGATATTTTTGTGGGGAAATGTAGAAAGGTAGTTGTTTGTTTACAACGTTTCCCCTTCTCTGTAGTATAAACTGATGTGTGTTTAGCAATGTTGTTTTTAGTATCGCTTTACTTTACGTATAACACACGATATTTTGTTTTCATGAACGATTTAGAGATGGCAGAGAAGGTTCTTTCGTCTCTATGATGACGGGGAGTTTTCCTATTGTGTGGACGAAAATGTAAGTACGGCTAGTCTAAGTCTTATATGCTAGTTTCATCATGGTTAGTCTCATATGATAGTTTCAAAATGGTGGCTAATTGTAGCAAGGCTAGTCTTACAGATACTAGTTGTATCAAGCCTAGTCTTATAGATGATAGTTGTATCAAGGCTCGTGTTATAGAATATGATAGTTGTATCAAGGCTAGTGTTATATATACTATTTGTATCAAGCCTAGTCTTATAGATGATAGTTGTATCAAGGCTAGTGTTATAGATACTAGTTGTATCAAGGTTAGTCTTATAAATACGGGTCCACCGTTTATGTCTAGTTCTACACAGTTCCTCGATTTCAAACTGTTTGTAAACAAATATCGGTGTCTCGTTTATAGAATTGAATGTCTTTTGTGTGTATGTGTGTGTGTGTTTATCTGAGCCTCGTTAATAGAATTAAAAGTATTGTGTGTGTGTGTTTATTGATGCCTCGTAAATAGAATTGCATGTAATTGTTGTGTGTGTTGACAGCCCGACACCGTGCCACAAGGGGTGGTGGATATGAACAAATGTACCGACGTGCTAGACGCTGAGACAACCACCACTCACCCCTTCTCCTTGTCCATTATAACTCCAGAGAAGACGGTGTACATCAAAGGGAATTCGAAGGAGGAAATTCAGTGGTGAGTGCTTTTAAATAGGGTTCATCTTTCTTAACCTTTTATGTGTTAATTACCGCCTACCTTTCAAAATCTGGCGAGAGTAGAGCGTCGCTGGGGGGGGGGGGGGGCTTCAATTTTTATTAGTTTGTGAAATTTAGTTAGACTGCTGGTGATTTTTAAAATATATAATGTAAACAATAAATGACGTTTTTGTAGCATGTAGCAGTCTTTAAGCAAAAACAACAATTCCTTTCATGTTGAGCATCCTGTCTTGTCGTACATTTGAAATCATGACAATGGATTAGCTGTGTTTTGTCTGATGGATAATGGTTTCATTTTTAACGCTGTCTGGATTTTAAAAATACAGATTTTAGGAAAAAAAAAGATAAAGCAGAATGAACAAACCAGTATATCCTCACACAGTCTAATTTTAGCAGTACACTTGGCACAAGAAAAATACGTTTAAAACATTTCTTAACAACGAAAATATAACCGACCTAAGCTATACATTCAACCTGTACCATAGCCAAGTCAACCGTTCAGTGATCCACACAAATAGTACAATACATTAAAACCCTCGCCAATCAATACAGGTGGGTTAAGTTGTGTGGGGCAGATACATTAGAATGGTGTATGTGGGCAGGTATATTAGAATGTTGTGTGGGTCAGACACATTAGTATGTTGTGTGGGGCAGATACATTAGTATGTTGTGTGGGGCAGATACATTAGCATGTTGTGTGGGGCAGATATATTAGAATGTTGTGTGGGGCAGATACATTAGCATGTTGTGTGGGGCAGATACATTAGAATGTTGTGTGGGGCAGATACATTAGCATGTTGTGTGGGGCAGATATATTAGAACGTTATGTGGGGCAGATACATTAGCATGTTGTGTGGGTCAGATATATTAGAATGTTGTGTGGGGCAGATATATTAGAATGTTGTGGGGGTCAGATATATTAGAATGTTGTGTGGGGCAGATACATTAGATTGTTGTGTGGGGCAGATACATTAGAACGTTGTGTGGGGCAGATACATTAGAATGTTGTGTGGGGCAGATACATTAGAATGTTGTGTGGGGCAGATACATTAGAATGGTGTATGTGGGCAGATACACTAGAATGTTGTGTGGGGCAGATACATTAGAATGTGTAGGGGAGATACATTAGAACGTTGTGTGGGGCAGATATATTAGAATGTTGTGTGGGGCAGATACATTAGAATGGTGTTTGTGGGCAGATACATTAGAATGTGTAGGGGAGATACATTAGAATGTTGTGTGGGGCAGATACATTAGAATGGTGTATGTGGGCAGATACATTAGAATGTGTAGGGGAGATACATTAGAATGTTGTGTGGGACAGATACATTAGAATGTTGTGTGGGGCAGATACATTAGAATGGTGTATGTGGGCAGATACATTAGAATGTGTAGGGGAGATACATTAGAATGTTGTGTGGGGCAGATACATTAGAATGGTGTATGTGGGCAGATACATTAGAATGTTGTGTGGGACAGATACATTAGAATGTTGTGTGGGACAGATACATTAGAATGTTGTGTGGGGCAGATACATTAGAATGTTGTGTGGGGCAGATACATTAGAATGGTGTATGTGGGCAGATACATTAGAATGTTGTGTGGGCCAGATACATTAGAATGTTGTGTGGGGCAGATACACTAGAATGTTGTGTGGGGCAGATACATTAGAATGTTGTGTGGGGCAGATACATTAGAATGTGTGGGGCAGATACATTAGAATGTTGTGTGGGGCAGATACATTAGAATGGTGTATGTGGGCAGATACATTAGAATGTTGTGTGGGGCAGATACATTAGAATGTTGTGTGGGACAGATACATTAGAATGTTGTGTGGGACAGATACATTAGAATGTTGTGTGGGGCAGATACATTAGAATGGTGTATGTGGGCAGATACATTAGCATGTTGTGGTGGGCAGATACATTAGAATGGTGTGGGGCAGATACATTAGAATGTTGTGTGGGGCAGATATATTAGAATGTTGTGGTGGGCAGATACATTAGAATGGTGTATGGGGCAGATATATTAGAATGTTTTGTGGGGCAGATACATTAGAATGGTGTATGGGGCATATGCATTAGAATATTGTTTGGGGCAGATACATTAGAATGGTGTATTGGGCAGATACATTAGAATGGTGTATGGGGCAGATACATTAGAACAAGGATAGTTTGAAGACATGATTACAGAATTGTTGGACTATTATGTTAACATGTTTTCTATTTCTTGACCTATGTGTCAGCTGGCTATAGTTCACAATAAACGCGGTTAACTACACACACAGAGAAATATAGGTAGAATAAGATAATACTGTGTACGTTCAATCTACTAAAACATATCAGCAAACTCTAGAAATCCCCCTACTGTGGATGAGTACTCCTGAATCACTCAAACGTACTGCTTTATTATTATAGTTGCAAAAAAGACCCCCCCCCCTCCCCTCCCGTATGTTATTCACCATGATTCGCACTGATCCGTGTATTATTGCTGCTGATCTCCCCCCTCCCCCCCCCCAATCGCTGGTTACCTACCTATGTGCTTGTTGAAGCCGAGCCTAGGTTTTGACTAACGTGACGGCTCGACAAGGTAACAGATAGTGAGTAACCTTGTAATATGACGTCTCATGCCATCCTGCTTGCTTGCTGGTCTCGCATTCTCGGATCCTAGTAGAGTAACCTTGTAATATGACGTCTCAAGCCATCCTGCATGCTTGCTTGTCTCGCATTCTCGGATCATAGTAGCACAACACCAGCCACGCCAGTTGTTTTTTACTCTGTGTGGGTAGGGTTAGGTTAGGGGGTGACTTGCTTCTTGTGTCGAATCGTTTCAGCTGGTCTGGCTGAAACAGTTCAAGCGTATCCAAACCATTTGTTTAGTGTTTATATTTATTGATCTGTTGACTCGTTTATTGATGTAGGCTATTTACGGGCGACGCCCTAGTTTGTATGCAATGGGCCCAATATCCAACATACAGTCTTTGTCATTGTTTTTTGCTATCAGTGCATTACACTCAGTAAGCCTGCTGTCATGCACACACTTTGTAAGCCGATTTAATACATACATTATGTAAGCCTGCTGTAAGGTACACAACTCAGTCAGCCTATTGTAATGCATAAACTCTGTAAGCCTGCTGTAATGTATACACTCTTTAAGCCTGCTTTAATACACACACTGTAAGCCTATTGGAAGGGTAAGCTGTGTATCGTATTACCCTATTGTCAGCTTGTCAGATGCCGTTTCTTGTCTTGGCTGTTAGCATGTGGAAGCAAAAACGGAATGTAAGCGGAATTTTCTGGCATTTCCACACCATATATTCATGATTACATCTGGTTTTCAAAAGTCATGCAGCATAAGCAGATATCCCTAAAAAAAACAACAAACAAAACAAACAACACCCATCTCTTTCCGGCCTTGTCTTGTTGTGCTGCTGTAAAACAAGCCACCCCCCCCCGTACATCCATCACTGCTTCTGGTGACGTCTGGCTGTCACCCTCAACATGGCACCCCCCGTGTCTCGTCAGACAGCCCTCGCCATGAGCGCCGCTTGATGCTGTTGTTTTCAGCTCTGGTGTGGGGGTCGAGAGGTGACGTGATCACTGATTTATTTCTCGTTCACGCCGGCGACTCCCGCTTGATGAATACAGCTGGTGACTCCCGCTTGATGTATACCGCCGGCGACTCCCGCTTGATGTATACCGGCGGTGACTCCCGCTTGATGTATACCGCTGGTGACTCCCGCTTGATGTATACCGCCGGCGACTCCCGCTTGATGTATACCGGCGGTGACTCCCGCTTGATGTATACCGCCGGTGACTCCCGCTTGATGTATACCGCCGGTGACTCCCGCTTGATGTATACCGGCGGTGACTCCCGCTTGATGTATACCGCCGGCGACTCCCGCTTGATGTATACCGCCGGTGACTCCCGCTTGATGTATACCGCCGGCGACGACTCCCGCTTGATGTATACCGGCGGTGACTCCCGCTTGATGTATACCGCCGACAGCGTCGTTTGACTCCAGTCTACAGTGTGTTTATTTTACAACTGGACTGTCTATATAAAAAAAGTGATCCCCGGTAGAACAAATTACCCTTGTCTGACTGCATACCTTGGCCACTAGGTCAACGTAAAGCACGGGGCGCTAATTTCTCTAATGAAGCCACTGATGCAGCGTGTGTGTGTATCAGCGTGTCTGTTATCGCGTGTCTAGTATTACACCGACAGGGCCTTGCTTGCAGGAAGTCCCCTAATGGAGGCAGTTAACATGATCTATTACCTGGGACTACATTACACGCCGGTGTCTTAGCTAGTTTTAACGAGGTGCAAGTAACTCAGACATTTGAAGCAAGTGGAAATACTTCAGCCGTGTCCGTGTTTTAAATTAAATAACATGTTCATTTTTGCGCTAGTGCTAGCTGATACACCGCTTCCGCCCCTCGTCCAGATCCCCCATTCCATTCTATCGCCCATTTATCAAAATCCCAGCCCACCCCCACTTAAAATGTCATCCCAAAGTTCCAATCCAATCACTAAAACCATACGTAGATTATAAACATGTTTTCCAGCATATAAACCATACGTATATTATAAACATGTTTTTTAGTATTTTAGTGGAAAAAAAACAACCAACTAGCTGTGTCGTATTTGAATCCACCCCTTCCTCTGATACGTAGCACATCGTCACAGCAGTCTGTCGCGTTACGTCATGTAGGCTACATACTACAGACGATCTGGTATAACCTAGCACTTGTGAACCCTAGCATCGGTCAATGCTGGCTCACTCACTCGTACCGTGACGAGTGAAGGCAACGTGTGAGCAACACTAGGGTGCGCTGGTCTGCCAGCTGGTGGCCAGGTACAATAGGCGCCCCCATACAGTTGCCGGTTAACAACCTGCGGGAGAAAACTCTTTAGTGACGCTCGATCAAAGAGTCGAGGAGGGCGGGGAGGGGCACGGTTAATGCAGCGGTACACTTGGCGGAACATTGGTCGGGGTCACATTAGACAGTGGTTAAATAAAGACATGAGGTACACGGTTGAAATACAGTCGCTACGTCATTTTACTGTGGTCATTTTATAATGAGAGCCTTGTTTTAGTTCGTACTGTGGGTATGGATGTAGGAAGTTTTACTTCTGCATTGCGTAAGGTGGTGGGGGGGGGGGGTAATAAATTAACATGCGCCTATGGGAACACGCTTATGGGGACACGTGACTTCTTTGATGTTTATTTCCTTACATAAATAATAGAGTGATGGCCAGGTTGCACCACTAGTCCTGTATAAAGTTCTTCACTGGTCCAATGTTGCATCTTTTTGTATCCCATGTCAAATGTTACTTAACTATACCTGGATCTGATCAAGCTTTTATTTATTCTTTTTTAGGTGGCATGAGATTCTTGCTGAATTTCCTAAAGCACTGAAAGCCATCAAGCCAAGAAGAAAACAACCATTTCTTATTCTCAGCAACAAAGAGAACTCTGTAATATATTGCCATTTACATTTCCTTGTTTCTTTGTTTTTTAAAAATGCACATAACTTTTTAGCAGATTTCCCCCACATCTATAAGAGTTAAGTGTAGAACATACACAGGAGATTTTACACCTTTTTTCTGAAAGGAAAAAACTATATACATAAAAATCTATGTATGAAGATCAATTAATTTCCCAATTTTCCATATGTAAAAAAAGATTAAATTAACCAAAGCTAAACATGCATGTACAGAAAATATTTTGTGACCTACTTTAAAAAATAATTATTGAATTCTAACTTTTGGATAAGTTTACTGATGAATATGAATTGATTGTTCAGACATTATCAAGATCCATCTCAACTTTTTTTGATTGCATGTACATTTAACTGTAGTATAATCAATTAAGGAATTTATAACACCTTCAAGCTAATATAAAAAGGTTTATGTTAATTCAAACTTTTTCTTATCTCTTCCAGCCTGACAGCATTGATGCAAAGCTTGGGAAGTATGATTTCAAAGGCCGCAATGATACGCCTGCATTTGCTACCTTTAGAGGGGTTCGCAGTCTTAAACACAGATATGATACAACATACCATGATGGAATGCGTAAAAGTAGTAGCCTTCATGATTTATCTTCTGAAGATCAAGAGATGCGAGAAACTTTGGAATCCTCAAGATATCTTAGTCGTTCTGGAGATAGACTTGATACCATTAACTCATTCACTGTGCCTCGGAGTTCCCCACCAAACATCAACAGCTCCCCCACATTTATCTTGCCTCCCACTCGCTCGGCTCTGCCAAACTCTACATTCCTTACCCCCAAGAACACGGCATCCTCTCACTCGTCCATCTCCTCCATGTCCTCAACAAACTCTGGATCCAACCAGCGGCCGGATCCCTTGGAGGAAAGATCGGCCAACATAAAACTGCACAGGGAGAGGTCGTCAAGCTTAAAAGATTTCTCCACCCAGCTAAGCATATCTGGTGGCAATGAAACAGATGAGCTGAAGGTGTGTACACATTGGTTTGTTTGTTGGAACACCTCTAACCATGTTCATTTTCAGGGAATGTTTTTTGGCAGTTCACTGCAGCAACCATTCTTGAAGTGAAATTTTCAAAATGGTTTCAAAGTTTCAGAATTTTTTTCTGTAGTAAATATAGTTTAATGGTATTGCCTAAGCCTTCATGTTATTCTTGCTAAAACATAGTTTTCAATCTCATGAGAAGTATATGCCTTAGCTTGAATAATTATTATAAAACAAAATGTTGACACAAAAATATTTGTTGTCTCAATATAATAAAATATTTCTTTAAATAAAACTTATTAAAACTTATTAAAATAATAGAAAATGGGTTAAGTATTCTTAAATAAATAAAAAATCGTTTAGTTATTACTATTTTGTCTTAGTTATTATACAAACAAGCTAATATTAGAATCTCTTATGAATTTTAGATTACTTCTCTGTAATAATCCTATGTTCACAGTTTTCTATATTAGCTACTATTAAGAACATTTCAGCTTTCCAGATTGTCACTAAGATGACTATAAAGACTGTCCAGATATTTTAACAACATAAATTTTATAAAGTCTTACAGAGTGGTAAAAAGACAGATCTCTATTTTAGAATACACATTATGCAACTTTCATTACTATAAAAATTTAATTTAAAAAAAAAAAATCAGTTTCTGTGGGTGAATTCTTTGCTCTTTTCACAATGCAATACTTACAAATCAAAACAAACACAAAAATATAAATTTTGTTTGTTATGGGACTGGTGTGTTTGTAAACGCTTCCTCATTATAACAGATTTTAACTGTTTACACCATGGTGTCAAATCTATTGTCATCCTCTAAATAACAGTAACTTCTTTTGACCAGTTTTCTTGTCGTTTTTTTTTAAAATCTCCCTTGTAAAAATGAGTACTAATGTTCTGGTGATAATTCCTGCTCTAGATGGCTAGGCATACAGAAGTAAAAATCTCTAGTAGACCATTAGGTAAAGCCCTGCCTACAGCCACTGCTGCTAAATCTGGGCCTAACAAGTTAGAGGCAAGTATAGGCAACAAAAAAAAGTACAGTTTCTTCCGCAGTGGAAATACCTTCTTCTTCAACATCAACATTAACAGAAGTGAAGAGGTTAAGGGCTTAATAAGTATTAACACCATTTAACAATGTAGGATGCTAAGTGTTTCATTTTTCTTAGTTACTTTTTTATATTTTTACATTTAGTGCTTATAGAAATTGCTTGGTTCTGACAATAAACTGCAAAAGCTGTTAACCTAAAAATGCATCTGTCAACTTAAAAAAAAATCATTTAGGTATCTATGGTTCATGTATTTATAAAACCTGTAACCAAGTCTTTTAGGTTGGTACATGTATCTTCTATAAAAACATGCAATAGCACATATGTTTAAACTGTTGGTAACGCCACATAGCCTGAAAGATCTCTGCACATGATCTATCGCACACTGCAATCTCATTTCAAATATAAACCATTCTTCTTTTAAACACTACTTTCTTAGTTAGCTTCATTAATAACAAGTAACTTAAATGTTGATGCAACTACTTCAGCACACATGTATATTTTAAAATAAATTCTAGTGTTTTTATTCAGTGGAAAAAACTTTAAAAGTTTGGAGTAAGACTTGTTTGCCTTAAGTGCTTTTAAATTTGATCTACCAGCGTAAAGTAATGCTGGGAATGAAGACTTAAGGTTTGAGTTGTTAAAGTAACTTATTTTTTAAGTCTTATTCCTTGAAGTTTAGATAGCCCTAGGAGGAAAGGTATTGTTTCGAAATAGATCAAGTTAATAATGTTCAAGTTCTGTTTAAAATACTGGTACTTTAATAATTTATCATAAAATGCTGTTGTTAACTACTTATAAGATTGTATTAAAAACTTTTCTATATTTCTTCTTAGACAAGCTCAAGCTAATCATGCACTTTTTATGTAGATAACTTGCTTTTTTTCTGCTTTTAAAACAAAGTAAAAATATAGCTAAAAACATTCATTGCAAATAATAAATGTTTTTCGACTGCTATGGCTGATTAAAAAAATCAATTTTAAGAACTGTTGTACATGATTCAATTTATTTTAAATAAGTAAGAGAAACTTAACTTTCCTTTAATTCATTGAAATTAAAAAACAAACACTTTTTTGTTTTATTGCTCTGAAGTAAATTACAGATAACATAAGACCATTGATGTTTCAACTGAATAGAAAAAGTATTTGTATAGTTATTGAGATTTTAAACATGATGGAAGCAAGAGTATGAAGTTAAATAATACTGTCCTTTTTATTTATGTCATATACATGTCTTGATTGCAGGATCTTGTATATATGAAGAAAGGTTGGCTAATCAAGCAAGCCCCAGTTGAGAAGGTTTGTCAGCCATTTGTAAACATTGAACACATTTATTTTCTCTACTTGAAACTATCAGGGTATCAGGTGAACACGTTTTTTACTTGCAGGCTTTATACAGCTCTAATATTTATTGTACTTGGAGGTAGGGGAATTACTATGATAAAGCATGTACAAGTACACCTCACTGCACATACTTTGTCTCAGCTCACTCACATTTCTCTTACAATAGTTAATTAAAACAACTCAACAAGCTACAGCCCCAGTAGTTACTGTCTCATGTACTCAGATCTTGTGTGCCCACTATTGTTCCAATATAGGAGTCTCGCAAACATTGGTTTGTCCTCGCTGGCAACTCACTGAGATATTATGAAGACGCTAAGGCCGAGGAGTCCAACTTACTTGAGGGGAGGATTGACTTGTCCTCCTGCTATGAGGTGTCTGAGACGTCCACACATAGAAATTATGGTTTTAAAATTAAGGTTAGTTGCTACCTGGCCATAGAAATTTTAAAGCTAATGGGTATCACAGAAAATAGTTATTTGAAAGGTTGCTTTGTTATGTTTAGCTTAAGGCTATCACAGAAAAAAGTTATTTGAATGATTGCTCTGTTACGTTTAGCTAAAGGCTATCACAGAAGATATTTATTTGAATCATTACTCTGTTATGTTTAGCTAAAGGCTATCACAGAAAAAAGTTATTTGAATGATTATTCTTGTTATGTTTAGCTAAAGGCTATCACAGAAGATATTTATTTGAATGATTACTCTCTTATGTTTGAATAATGGCTTCTTCCGACCACCAGCTGCACAATTTTCCCCCATATTTTCTTGTTTGTATGCACAGTGCTTTACATATAATATTTTGCTTTTTTTTCTGTTTTTGTTGAAAAAATAATAAAAGACACATTTTATAATTTTTAAGGCAGTAATTGAAAAGAAAAATATTTTAAACACAATAATACTATTTTTAAAGTTAATATGCATGAATTTATAAGTAATTAATATTGTTTTTAAAAACATTTACTTAATTACCAGACATTAAATTGAGATTGGACCACATTGGGAAAAATAGAATGTAATAAATCTTTTGCAATTAGAGTTAAAAAGAGAAATGGAACAGAATTTATTTTGTGTTGAGTCTGCTTCTTCTCTTCTCCTGTCCAGCAGTTGATATATATAAACAATACAACATTATGTTCTACAATAACAATATTTACATTGATCTTCACTCCATGTTGCTGAAAACTTATACATTTATCAGATCTATTGTATTGAGAACATTGAGGGCTAATGTGGCCAACCATTAAGTAGATTCAGTGATGACATGATTCTTAAGGCTTTATATGCAGTTACTTTCAGTGAACACTATCCCTTCACATGTATAGGTCACAGAAACAGTTGAACTCTAGTTAACTTACCCCAGTCAGGTTTGAAAAGGGAACTTTACTTTGAGTGTAATTAGTATTTTTATCAACCCTAATCTGGCTTTTGTATAACTGGAGTCATTTAGATGTTAAATTTATAAGAGGAGGAAAATGTTGAAAAGTTTCATATTTTGCTACAGAAATTCACCTAATTCTGTTTAACTTTGGTATTTTCCAAAATGTTCTTGATATTCTAAGTGCAAAATTTAGTCCATTTTATTTCCTAGTTCATACATATTTTTGGTGTAGACTACTGAACAGTAAGTCTAATTATGTATTAAAACAAAGTTTAACATCAATATATGATACTGTGGACTACTAAACATCTAGTCCTTGCGTATCAAAACAAACTCAAATTTAAAACAAACTTGAACATGGTCAGTATGTGCTGGTGTAACCTACATAGCAAGGACCAAAGGCATCTTTTGTTATCTTATTTGTTTAAGCTATTTTCTGTCTTGTGTTTACAACGATAATACAGTTTTTAATTGGTTTTTTGTCATTCAAGTTTTGTTGCATATAGAAAAAGTGTTAAACATACAATTAATAGCTCATATTTTTTTGAAATAACACACACTAATAATGTCCCTGATTGAAATGTTTTAAAAAAACAAACTTTAACAATTTATCTGTCCAAAACATTACTAGACCCACACCTTTGCGCAAGAATTATTTACTTTGATTAGGGTGGGGAGGGGGGGGGGGTAGTATGATGTATAGAACAGGGGATAGAGATAGGTAAGCCAATAGCAACAAAAGTTTATTAAGTAAGTTGACAGTACCTTCACCATGCCAACAGATTTTATTTGTTTCACGCCACACTACAATGCATGTAGCAATAAAAAACTAGCGTAGCCATATTTTAAGCAGTGTATTGAGAATACAAAGAATAGGGCTGTTTAATTGTGCTGGCTGCTTTATGTAGTTAACATTATCCTTTGGAGATGAATTAGCTTGTCCTTTGTGTAAACATGACCAAGTCCCATGACTGCCATCCTTACCCTCCACAGACCAGGAATGGTGAGTACACGCTTGCCGCTATGACTTCAGGCATCCGCAACAACTGGATGAAGGCCATCCGCCTGTGTATGGAGCTTCACAGCTCAGTGCCCAAGTGGAAGTTTTCACCACCACTCTCAGCCCAAAGTCCTCCCAGAACAGCCGTCGATGATCTGGAGTTCAAGTCTGGTGCTGCATCCAGCTTGACCACAACCGTAACGGGAGCTGGGGGAGAAACGGCATTCCAGCTTGTTGGTCGTAGAGATCCTCATAAAAGGGAAACCCAGAAGCCAACAAGACGCCACCATTCTGATGTCAATCCAGGGAATGTAAGTAAAGTTTTGTCAGTGAAGGAGTTCACTGCCAGTCTAGAACCTGCAGTGGATCCATTGGTGTCACCTGGTTCTAGCACCCGCAGCTCTGAAAGTCCCGCAGCCACCCCCAGAGGCAGGAACGATCTGGCTCAAGCCGGAGCTAAACTAGTGCGCCACCGAAGCCCTTCCCTTGATAGTGTTACCAAGACGACCAAGCCCATCACAAAAGAGGCGACCCCGAAGATGAAGAGGTTTGTTGAAGGTAGCGACAACCTGACGACCGCTGGTAGCGCAGCCTCGGCCCAGGGTCCTGAACAAAGCAAGCCCAAACGTAATGTCACCAGTGAGAGTAACAAGGAGGAAGTCAAGAGGGAAATAATGAGGCGAGCCAAGTCCCCCAGTGCTCGAGTGAAGGAAAAGTCCAGAATAGGAAAGACAGCCCGTGTCCAGTCACCAATGGCATCAACAGATGACAAGTATGGCTACCACATGGGCAGTGCCACAGCCTCTGATGCTGGTTCTGCCATGTCAGACACTACTGATGACCCCGGCTACAATGACATTTCCATGTCCGAGGTACATACAAAGCTTGCTGCTGCTTTATCTATTTTTTACATTCTGCATTTGTTGTTTAGAAAATATTGTTGGCTTTTCATTCCACACCGTTAATTGCCTTGTAGTTAGTTCCATTTCATAGTTATCTTCTTACAGAAAATTAACAAAACGCACTTAGTACTAATTCAACAATCTGGTTAGCTTAAAATTGTGCTGTCAATGTCATAAACAGTTGACAGGATCATTGAGACATTTTTCTGTCTCATATTTCATATAATATAAATATTTGGATTTATTTTGTGGTGCAGAAATTTAATGAAGAATTTATCCATACTGACTACTCTTATCAATTTGTATTTGTTATAAGAATATAATTATGAAAAAAAAGGGAGTAAAATACAGTTTCTGGTTTTTAAAAATTTTTTTTTATTGTATTTGGAAGTTTCAACTAACATTTCATTCAATAATTATTTTTTTTACCAATTTTTGGAAATGTGTTCTTCATCTTTTAAACGGCTCTAAGTTATTACAATTTATAAACTTCTGAATTAAATGTTGAGAATATCTTTTATGAAATTGTCATGCTTGTCCTTGTTTGCGAACAAGCCCAACTTTTACTGATTAGCGCATGTTTCGCATGTTCTCTGGTTTTATGGTTGAGGTCTGGCATATAATTGAGGCAAGAAATTTTAATTATTTCTGCAAAAGATGAAGAACACAGGTTAGTTTTATAGAATGTTCAATTATGTTATCTTGTTCTGTATTTGCATTGGTCATCTCAAATAAAAGGGGGAAAAATATTCATGCTCATTTTATTTTGCATTGGAATGTCTTCTCATAATATGCTTGATTTTCTGCTTGTAATAATCATTTTAAAAATATCCATTGTTATGCAATTAGGAGCAAGTTATTTTAATATTTAGAAGCTACCATATGCTACTTCTTAAGGTTTATTATTTTATTTTGAGGCTCCTGCTACTAATAAATATAATTAACATCCACTAATAAATTAAATTATTTTACATTACCCTATATATATATCTTATTGAGTACTAAAAGCACAGCCAAAATACATTTAATAAATTGTTTAATCCAATATAATTTTATGTCAAAACTGAGCCAGTTGTGGAATTTTAAGTTGAAGTTTTTAGATATTTCTTGGTGCTGTTAACATACTCATTTTTTTGTGTTCACAGCTTCTAAATTATTCTGAAATAATCCCTACTCATTAGTTATTTATACAAGCTCATTCATCATCTATTTTGATAGCTTACAAAAACAAGAAAGCAATAATTTTATCCCTTATTTTATGTTTGTCAATATTATATAAAAATAATTGTACAATGATGTAAAATGAAAAAAAAAAGAGATAAAAGTAATACAAGCTTTTAAAAGTAGCCTTGAAATCATTGAAAACCTGTTTGCTCTGGTTTTCAGGAAGAATATCCAGCCCATGAAGACACTGACAATGATGAAGTTGGAAGTGCAACAGCTTCTGATGTTGTTGGTGGAGATGATGCCTTGGTGGAAATACTTGAGACAGAGGTGAGAAATACACGAGACATTCATTATGATGTAGCAGTGCAGGGGTTGGCGTAGTTGAGTCGGTAAAGCTCATGGTTGCTAAATCGAAAAGTCTCGAGTTCGCTTGGGCAGATGAGGCTCGTTAGCTGGGGACAACTCCAAAATCAAACGACTGCTGCCTTGTAGTTTGTTCTTTGTTGGACAAAGGCTATGGAAGCAAATCCAAAAAGAAAAGCAGGCAGAAATCTGAGTCACTGGCCTCAATGGCGCATAATCCGTTGACATGTAGACTTTATTGTGTTGGAGGGGATCCCTTCCAACACTAAAATTAAGAAGAAGAAGATTTAGCATTGTAATCTATTCATTCATTTAGAATTTAACCTGGTTGCATTAAATATGGTGTGCTTGACTTACATTTTGATTACAGTATTAATTAAGCATGGAATATTAAGCCTGACTGTTTAATGATTCCTGTCACAGGTAGAGTCACTGAAAGATAGGCTAGAACTGACACAGACGGAATTGGACAAAATGCACAAGGATAACATGGATCTCAAATCTAGACTTCACAAGGAATCTGTCCAGGTAAGTGTGCTGTGTGTGAGGGTACTAATGCTCTCACATACCTGAGTTAGCTTTCATCACTTTAGGTCAGCCGTTAATTTAGGTAATAATGTGTTCAATTCAGACAGATATATAAAAAAAAATCTTTATGAGCAAAAACATGTAAAAAAAATAATTAAAAGCTGGAAATGATATGAAGTTAATAGATCAAAAACAGAAAGAAGACTAAATAATTACATTACTGCTGAGAAATCTTAATCTAGAAAATTAAATGGAACTATATGTTAATATTTACTTGTTAAATAAACTGGTGTAGAAGCATTACAATTTTAACATTAAAAATTTTAACTTTTCCTTTTGTGTTTAGAGCATAGATAGTGGGTACAGCAGCCGTTGGGGTCAAAGTTCAAACCAAAGTGATTTATCTGGCACTCGATGGGGTGGTCAGACACCAAACACTGCTGAGGTAATAGATTTCAATTTCCAATTGCTGTTTTAACTAACAAAATGGTTGTAGATGTTCATTAATTATTGCTTATTAATTGTTCATAGATGCAATCATTTCAAAGTCTTAAAACTAAAAAAAAAAAGATAATTTTTGTTGTCAAAACCTTCCAATCTGTTACCAAGATTTAATGCATTTTTAGGCCTTAAAACGACAACTAAAAGAATCAAAAGATTTGATTCAGCGACAGAGAATGGACATAGAAAGTCTGAAAAGTAAACTTGACATGTCTGTCTCCAAGCTAACTGGCACAGAGAAAGCTCTCTCTGAGGCCCTGAAGGATTATAAACAGGAGAAAGATAAAGTAAGTTGTTTGATTGTCCTGTCTCAACTGATATTAAAGTGTTTAATTATTTGTAAATTAACTACTGCTCATGTAAACATGTTTGTGTTTGATTGTCCTGTCTCAACTGATATTAAAGTGTTTAATTATTTGTAAATTAACTACTGCTCATGTAAACATGTTTGTGTTTGATCGTCCTGTCTCAACTGATATTAAAGTGTTTAATTATTTGTAAATTAACTACTGCTCATGTAAACATGTTTGTGTTTGATCGTCCTGTCTCAACTGATATTAAAGTGTTTAATTATTTGTAAATTAACTACTGCTCATGTAAACATGTTTGTGCTGTTTAAGAGTTTTAAAGAAATTAACTAATTTCTGTTTTAATCCAACAGTTTTTCAAGCTCAGCTCTGAATGGAACCGTCGCATTCGCACCATGGAAAGTCAATCCAAAGACAACATCCACAAACTGGAGCGCAGTCGGGAGAGTCTTCAAGCCAAAGAACGTGAGTGCCGTAGACTGGAGGCTGAGCTGAAGAACAACCTACAGAGGAGCAGAGAGCAGGAGAAGGAGATTGTCAAGTTGAAGGCTGTGGAGCATGAGTACAACCAGCTCAAGGTGGACTAGCTACACTTTTCTTGTTATTTTAGCCTTAGTTTACACATTTTTTTTTAACAACCAGCTCAAGGTGGACTTGGCTACACTTTTCTTGTTATTTTAGCCTTAGTTTACACATTTTTTCAACAACCAGCTCAAGATGGACTGGGCTACACTTCTCTTGTTATTTTAACCTTAGTTTACACATTTTTTTTAACAACCAGCTCAAGATGGACTGGGCTACACTTCTCTTGTTATTTTAACCTTAGTTTACACATTTTTTTTAACAACCAGCTCAAGATGGACTGGGCTACACTTCTCTTGTTATTTTAACCTTAGTTTACACATTTTTTTTAACAACCAGCTCAAGGTGGACTTGGCTACACTTTTCTTGTTATTTTAACCTTAGTTTACACATTTTTTTAACAACCAGCTCAAGGTGGACTGGCTACACTTTTCTTGTTATTTTAGCCTTAGTTTACACATTTTTTTAACAACCAGCTCAAGGTGGACTGGGCTACACTTTTCTTGTTATTTTAGCCTTAGTTTACACATTTTTTTTTAACAATCAGCTCAAGGTGGACTTGGCTACACTTTTCTTGTTACTTTAGCCTTATCTTACACATTTTTTTTAACAACCAGCTCAAGGTGGACTGGCTACACTTTTCTTGTTATTTTAGCCTTAGTTTACACATTTTTTTTTAACAACCAGCTCAAGGTGGACTGGCTACACTTTTCTTGTTATTTTAACCTTAGTTTACACATTTTTTTAGCAACCAGCTCAAGGTGGACTCGCTACACTTTTCTTGTTATTTTAGCCTTAGTTTACACATTTTTTTAGCAACCAGCTCAAGGTGGACTGGCTACACTTTTCTTGTTATTTTAACCTTAGTTTACACATTTTTTTAGCAACCAGCTCAAGGTGGACTAGCTACACTTTTCTTGTTATTTTAGCCTTAGTTTACAATAATTTTTTTAACCTTTTAAAAGGTGCGTTCGCAACTTGTGTACCCACCTCCCCACCATTATTACTACTTTCATCCATTTATTGAAAGTATACTTTGTATAAGAGTGTGCTTGATGTTATTGGTTTAAATGAATTAGTGGAAAAAACTTTGCGTGAGGGAATTATGTTATTTTTATTGAATTATGTTATAGAGTAAGAAAATAGACAGTGAATGATGTGTAAATGTAGTAATAATTCTTTCTTAACTTTGCCATCAACTTCTAATTTGTCTTGTAATTTAGCCTAAGATAACGCACATTTGAACTAACATATCTTTTATACAACTCCTAGGAAAAACTGGATGATAAGGAGCAAGAGTTATCCAACCTGAGATCTGAGTTGAAAGAAAAGGAACACCAGACAAAAAAGATGAAAGAAGACTACGAGCACCAGCTGGACGAGATGGACAGAGAGTACGGCCAGGAGAGGGACTCTATGGAGAACCACATGGAGCAGCTCAAGTCTGAGCTGTACTCAGCTCATGACAGACAGGCGTCCTTGACTGACAACATGACATCCAACATCGCAGACATACTCAAGGAGAAAGATGACATCATTGCTCAACTTGAGGATAAGGTAATTGAACTGTGGTGTTTGGGGCTTGTGACGAATCTGCAATATGACTTGCTTCTACAGACAGTTGAAAAATTACATGAGTAGGAGCAAGTCTTGATTAGGTTTTAATACAGCACAGCTGCATATGTAGTTTGTAGTAGAACTGTTGTTACTTTTTCAACATTAAATTGATAATATTTATGAATGAACAAACATCCAATACTTGCCCCTTGGTCAACTAATGGTAATGTGGTCATATAATTAAAGTAATTGACATCCTTTTTCCTTCAGATGATTGAGGCTGACAAGAAGCTTGTAGATCTCTCAGAAGAGCTGCAGTCAGAGATGGGTGAAAATGCTGAACTTGCCCACACCATTGACATGCTCAAGAAGGACAAGCTGAAGCTCTCTGCCACCATTGATGAGCTGGAAGCCGCCCTCCTGTCAGTGAAGACCAAAGTGTCAGGGTTTGAGTCTGACAACCTGTCACTGAAGCGTCAGCTGGAGGAGCTGAGACTGGAGAACACCCAGCTTCATGACGGCCTGACCATCGCCAACACAGACAAGGACCATGGTGACATAGCGGGTTTGATGGTGGACAAGGAGACAGATAAACTCAAGAAGACTATTTTTGAGCTCAACAATAAAATATCTGATTTACAGGTATGTGGTTTTAAAAAAATGGCTTTGTACCAAATATAAATTTATCATACATTTTTCTTTTGTCTACTCATGTCAAGCCAAACTTATTTTCTAGATTTGGAAGCTAAAACATAGATTAACCAAGAAACAGTCAAAATCAAGAACTGCTTTTTGGAATTTATGTCTGGATTTCAATATAATAAATGTTAATAGAGTATATTTATTACAGCACATAGAATTATTTTTTGTTTAGCTTTTACCCAATAAACTAAAAACATTTTCTTTTATTTTCTAAGGTAAAACTGGAGCACACTGAGTCAGTAGGCAAGATGTCAGAAAGAGGCAACAGTGTGAGCAGTGTGACCAGTGTGGGCAGTGACCACCAGCAAGACCTTGTCCACACAATCCTGGTGGTGGACTCCAACCTGAAGGAGATCAACACCATGCTGCACAAGATGAGGCAGAGCTTCGACACTTACATCGAGTCTCTGCCACAGAAAGACAGGAGTGTGCCCATCAAGCTGGCTAACATTGTCGAGGACGTCGGCCACAAGTGTCACAACGTTCAGGAGATTCTCCGAGAGGGCAAAGTGCAGCCCCCGCAAGAAGTGGACTACAAGCACACCATCACCGTCAATGCTGGCTCAAACAGCAAACTTGTCATGGATGAGTACAAGAGCCTGAAGGTGAAGTTCGACAATGTGGTGGGTGAGCTGAGGAATGTGAAGAAAGAGCTCAGTGATTCTTTTCTGTCTTATGATTCCGTCATGCAGGAACACGTCCAGTTGAAAGAAAAAATGGCAAGCCTTGAGGGTGTTTACAAACAACAAATTGTAGAGCTCATTGCTAGGGTGGATGGGCTGTCAACCAAGATTGTCAATGTAGTGCCAGACTCTAAGAGAACTGCCACCAGCAGCAGTCCAGACAGTGTGAAAGACATTGAGCACCAGCTTAAAGAACTTGAAACAAACATTTCCATGTTGGAACAACGCTCTAGGAGTGTTGAGGCGGCTGCTAAGGCTAAACCACATGAAGGTGCAAGCAGTGCTGGTGACACCAAACTTGAGGCTGTGAGGGTCCAACTGGAAGAAGCCAATGCTAAACTTAAGCAGTTAGGCACAATTTCTCCCTCCAGCCCTGCGTTGATATCCAAAGTGGAGTCTCTGACAGCAAGGTTAGGTTCCTTGTCTAAACAGGTTCAAAGACCGGCTAGCCTGACATGTGAGGAGTCTGCTGCTGCTGGGGTCAGCAGCTGTCTGCATGAGATCAGAGAGAGAGTCCAGCGTATTGGTGAGCAGCTGGACTCTCTGGACGAGGGAGACGAGGACTCGGACAGTGAGGATGAGGGAGAGCAGACGACCGTGGAGGACATTCGTGAGAAGCTGGCCAGCCTGACGGAGTTCATAGAACAGCACACCAAGCTCTCCACATCTGACTGGGCTGTGCTGAGGCTGGTGTGTTTACAGAAGGAGACTCACACGCCCAGTGCTAACAAGGAGGAATGTTTGCCTGCAGATGAGGAGAGTGCAGAGGTCAAGTTAAAACTGTATGCAGATAAGCTGTCACTAGAGGCTGTTGTCTTGTCAGAAATGGCACACATCCTCACAAGTAAAGAGTATTTATCATCAGAGGACTCAGTCAGTCTAGAAATAGATGCTTTGAACAGTCACATCTTAGGTCTTCATCAAATGCTAGACAATGAAATGAAAACTATGCACTTTGAAGAGCCAGTAGAAGATTTACTTGCTTCCTATGTTGAACTTATGGCAGAAAAAATTCTTGTCAATGGGCAGTTGAGTGAAAATATGTTTGATAAAAAATCTCATTTAATTAAAGACGGTGAAGGTCTTCCTTTAGTTCACGCCGGACTTTTGGCAACTGAAGCTCTCATACGATCTCAGATAGATTCCTTTATAAGCAGCAACCTAGACAGCAAGGCCAGTGAAATCTTAAGCCTTCCAACCCATCTAGCAGCTCGCTCCATCATCCAGGGAGAGCTGACCTACGCCCTGAAGGAGCTCAAGAACACATTAGAGAAGAACCCTGGTGCCTTGAACCCAGGATTCACCAACTATCAGTTCATGTTCAACAGATTACTAAACAGAGAAAAGAAAGTGTTAGCTTCTTTAGACTTGTATGAAAAGCAGATAGTTCATTCATTAGCTGTAATTATTTTTAAAGAAAGTGAAGAGATGACAATAGTGCAGGGCCCTGAGAGTGTCCTGGAGGCCATGTGTTCAGAAATCTCAACCATCATGGAGCGGCACATTCAGCACTTCAAGGAAAAATGCCGCTCGGCTTTAGACACCCACTCCGCTCACAAATTTGACACCATTGTCAATGAGCTGCGCTGCTGTAGGGAGTCTGTCCTCTCTGAGATCAAGTCCAAACACCAAGCCTATGCTAGCAACCCTAGAGACACGAGAGACTCCAGCCTTGATATCCCTGTACAGTCCCTTGACAGCACAATCAACAACTTTGGAGAAATCCTCTCTATGAAGTCTGTCATGGTCGGCACCTGCAACTTTTTAGCTGAGCTCCTGAAGATGGGCAACGCTGTACTTGCTGACTTGGAACTGGAATCAGACGTGGATGAAGATCATGTCAGCATCCATAAAGGTCTGACAAGTTTTGTCACTGCACTCAGTGAAGCCTTAGAAACAGAAGCCTTATCAAAAGAAAAGATATCCCGAAGTCTCATCTGTGATAGCAAGGTGGATGGCCAGCACATAGCGCTGAGGGTTCCAGACTTCTCCCTGTACCCCAGGCACCTGTCAGGGAAAGCTGAGGTGATCCTGCGTGAGGTGGTCTTCAGTGCCCAGCTGACCTTCTCGCTGTTCAAACAAAAGTTGTACCATGAGAGGGAGATGAGTGGCCTGGTAGAGAGGAGGCCACTCAGAGTGAGGACAGATCAGAATTCTGAGGAGAGCAGGGATTCTGATGATACGCTAGATCTGCAGACAGACTTCCAGGTAAGTGCTTGTCAAGTGCTTGTTTAATCTTTTATGGAGTTTTAGTTTCATTAGTATAATTTAATTATCTGCAAATGAGGTAAAAATGATCTCAGATCTTTGGTTATGATTTATAAGTTATTTAAAAGTTTCTGAAACATAAAAAATTGTTTTCAACCAAAGTACAGTAAGTATTTGAATAGTTTTATAGAAAACATTGTGAAAGCTACATATTTATGTGTTTTGTCCCAGTGTTAAACCTAGGGAGTTCTACATATAATTTTAATGATCTCTGATGGTTCTATACTTTAGTTGAAAATAATGTTTTAATATACTTCAGAAACAGTTCATTGGTGTAGAAATTCATTTTGTCTTCCCATGTAGGCTCTGCTTGGACCACTAGATGAAGTTTTGGAGAGCAAACATGAAGATGAGTTGAATGTTCTCAAGGTGCTACTGGCCATGGTGACACAGATCAAGACTGGGGGAATGAAAGACTTGCACGGGCTAGAGGACCAGTTAAAACAGCTGGAACAGAAGTTACAGCATGAGCTGGAAGTGGCACAGGAGAGACACAAGACACACTTGGAAGTGTTGAGACAGGTAAGGCTGGCTACTTGATGACTAGTTTAAGATTATTGAGACACGTAGGGCTACTTGATGACTAGTTTGAGATTATTGAGACAGGTAGGGCTGGCTACTTGATGACTAGTTTGAGATTATTGAGACAGGTAGGGCTACTTGATGACTAGTTTGAGATTATTGAGACAGGTAGGGCTACTTCATGACTAGTTTAAACTATCCTACCATTAGCTATGGCAATAGAAATGCTATCAAAATTTTTCTACAGTTAGCTGAAGCAATAGAAATACTGTCCAAGCTATTCTTTCAGTGGAAACAGTTGAACTTGTCAACCCAAACTTATTATCTTCACATTCAGTTAATCATATAAAAATGTATCTACAATAAATGTCTGACACAGGAAACCAGCAAGCTGGAGAAAGTTCTGGAAGAGCAGCAGTCAGACAGAGACCACTATGAAGAGAGGTGCTCACAGCTGGAGGACGAGCTGACCATCCTACAGTCTCAGCATGAAGAAGAGAAAGAGAGGGTCAAACAAGATATTCTCACAGCTGTGCATGCTATACGCAGCAATGATGAAAAAAGTGAGATGCATCTCATAGAAAAGGTTTCCAAACTGGGTAGAGAACTGGCTATGCAAAAACTGAGCTTCAGGGTAAGTATCACGATAACCAGGCATGTTTGATTATATTTTATAAAACTAAGACCATTAATAGAAAATTGTTTTAATATGTGTTGGTGGTTATATATTTTTTTATATGATTTAAATTTTATTAAAGCTATTGTTTTAAAAACAATAACATGCCCTGTTGTACTCTATCAAACTTTTGAGGATTTTCTTTTATAGGTGTTCATTGAATTTTGTAATTTGCCTTACTAGATGAAATTTGAAATTTTATTACATATCTTTAGGTATGCTGTTAGTAGCATTCACTTTCTAAGTCCAGCTAGCTTAAAAAAACTAATTTAATTTTTTATACCCACAGAAACTGCTAAGTAGCCTTAAGAAGGATTTGACTTCTAAAGAAAAAGGCGCCATAATTCAAAGTATAGAGGAACACATGAAAGCTATATCTTTAAATGCAGATGAAGAGGTTTTGTACTGTTTAATTACAACCTTTTAATGTTTTATTATATTGTTTTAGCTTCTTAGAGAATTAAGTCAATTGTTTACTGCTTAAAAATATTTTCAAGTGCGAAATTTAGAAATTATAAAACAATTGCTAATGAAGAGTTTCACTTTCTCAGGAAGAAGAGTTCCAACCTCCTTTACCGAGTCAGCCACCCCCAAATGTTCCAGATGGTGTTGGATATTCTCTGGAGGAACATTTGGTCGAAGTCTCTGAGGTAATTGAAGAACCAGTTTATCTAAACTGTTTCTTCTCTCCTATATTTTACTCACCAGCTGGTACAGATTAATTACTATACCAACATGTAGAAGAGACAATGTAAAGATTCATTAATTTAAAAAAATATATCACATATAAGCAATTCATTCATTGAAGTAGAGTAAAATCTGAAATTTATTCTGGAATAATAAAATTGAAAATTATAATTTGTTATAAAGATAAGTGTTTATTTTCAAGGCAAATAAATTCAGTTTTTTAATTCTCCCTTTTCCTAGAACAATTTCCTTTTTTACTTCAAACTTTTGAAATAGCAATAATAATATTAAAAAAATAGTAACAGTAATAAATAAAGTTGTTCACATGAACAGTTGGTAACAAATACATTGTATTTGTTTTAGTCCACCAAGTGTTTAACATCCCATGAGCACACAGTTGAGCAGTTGAAGAAAGAAAAGGAGGAGGCTCTTGCTGAGGAGATGAGAAACACCAAAGCAGGTAGTGAACAAGTTGTGCTTGAATGTTTTCTTAAAACACCTTTCTGTTCTAATTTCTTTTGTTGCGATTCAAAGCAGTTCAGTAATGAATGTTTAACTTTATAGCTCTTGATGCTGTAAGGAGTGCTTATGAAGATGAATTGTCTAAAGAAAGAGCCAAGTATAAAGAAGCTTTACTTACAATGTACACAGAAGAATACATCAATGAAATAAGACTCAGACACCAGTAAGTTATGAGTTATCAAAGATTTGGCGACAATAATATAGCCAATCTATAGTCTCTCATTTTGTATTAAAGTATTTTCTTTTGACTGTAACCTTCTTAAGATATGAGCAGCCTGTCTTAACATGATTTGTAATAGCTGTTGTCCAAATTTATCTTCTGCTAGAGATGAGGAAGAAAGAATGAGAGAGGAGTTGCAGAAGTTGAACATGCATTATTCAAGTAAGTGTGAGGACTACAAACTGGTTGAGATGAAACTTCAGCAGACAAAACAGGATTATGAGAGCCACATCAGCCAACTTATAGCCAGGTAAACATTCTTTCAATGTAGATATGAATAGGTTGTCACATACTGATGTTTAAAGTTTTGTAACTTCTTTTCTCCCTAATGTTTTCAGCAATAATCACCTTGAGGAAATGTTGAATCGAGAAATTGATAGTTTGAAAGATTTCATTAAAAACAAACCTTCCAGTGCTAGCCTTACCACAGGATCCGCTACAATGGAAGAAGAGCTGTATGATGCAAAGGTAAACAGTAAAAGATGTACAACTTCCTAGTCTAAATAAGCTGCCAGTTTTGTTGGTGCCATACCATTGAACTGTTATAGTTAATGACTCAGTGCCAACAATAGGCATTATTTGATGGTATTGTGTTAACTTTGTCTTTAAAGATTATGGTGAGAGTAAAAGATACAGAATTGCAGAAACTTCGATCACAAGTAAAGAATCTAGAAAATAGTTTACACAGAACAACAGAGGTATTTTCATATTTTTTCCACAATATCTTTTAACTAACAATGTCTAGTTCATATGTAGTCCTAAGTAAGTCTTATAAGATGTTTTACAATAAGTTGAAAATGTTGATGTTAAATAGGATTGATAAAAATTGTGACATTTATTATTTTAGGAACAGAGACAGACAATGACATTGTACATGCAAACCATGAAGACATCAAGTGAAACTAAAAAACAACTCCAAGAAGAAGTTTCTCAACTCACAGAGAAGTTAAACAAAGTATTAGGCAGCCAGGGTTTAAAAGCTAACATTCGAAGAAGTAAATATTGCTTTTATTCAAGCTTTTTAGCTTAAGATCTATGGGGTCAATCTTTTTTCTGCTTAAATCTGTTTCATCTACTTTATGCTTCTCTCAGCTAAAATATAGGAGTATTAAAGCACAACCCTGTTCTTGCATATGTAGTAGGACTTTGTACATTCAATGTAGTTAAATATGTCCAGCTAATGTGCTATTTCTTCCCACATCTTTCTCCTATCTCCATTACCATCGCAGAAGGAAATGTCACACTGAAGGGTGACTATAGTATTGCAACTTTGCATTGATGGCACACACAGCTTACTGTTCCCTGGCCCACCCCCTCATCATAATGTTCAATTGCATGCACTCACACACTGGTGCTTGTTACTTCATCCCCCCATACATTGCCAACTTGTCTGCAGCCCTCATGTGAGATTCTAGCGGCCATTTTATTAACACTAAAACAAAAAATTGCATTCTTTAGTTATGAAACAATATTTATGAAAACTTGGGGAGTTTAACCTTAGAACTTCAAAAGTTTCGCCTGCAATCAGCAGTATTGTTTCCTGACTTTTTAAAGTTTATTCAATTACAGATTCCATTTTTGTTTCTTAATTAAAACAAATTAGAATAATGCATTTCTTAAAAAAAATGTCTAGAAACTTTTATTATTTCTTTAATGTTTTTGTCATTTATCCACAGGCAATATGACGTGAATAATGCTTTTAAAAAAAAATTTCAGTAACCTGACAGTTTAAACACAATAAAATCACTACCTCTATTTTTGTTGTCATAATAGTTCTTGTATAAAATTTCCAAAATTATTTTGAAACAGTGTCAACAGCATGTGCTAAATTACTTACCTGAGTGAAAAAATAGATGCAAAAAAAAATTAAGTATAAAATTAACAGAATGCATGAGATTGTTTCAGCACTATGGCTTACTTGTGATCATATTTACCACATGCAGTTATCAGCTAATTACAAAAAAAAGACCTTTTATTTGAAATAAGAGGATGTTGATTTACATTTAAATAGCTTTCTTGTTTTTTACTTTAAAAAAAAACCCAGCTATTTTAGTTTGTGTTACTGTTCTTGAATTGACAATTTACTGATACCTAAATACCTGTAATTTGCATTATACTTATCATGTTTACAAATACTGTATAACTTTGATTCTTGATAATTTCCATGACAGTTTCTATGTTAACTTTTTAAGGTATTCAGAATTATAAATATCTAATAATAAAATGCATAAGTTTTTTTCTTACATTAAAAGTTGAAAAACAAAAAAGAAATATATTTTAAAGTTTATAACCATTTGAAGGATGATCTTTTATAGAGAAACTTTTACAAAATTAACATTTTTTAAAATACATTTTTTTCAAATTTTATAGCACCTTCATTCCATCAAAGAGCCCGCAGCCCTAGTCCTCAAGGTAGTTCTCCATCTGTACGTAAAGATTCAGATCATTCAAGCAGAGATTTTCATCGTCGCAGGCACATCCAACCTAAAGGTAAACTCGCATAAACATTCTAAAGATGACCAAAAAAAAGGTAAGGATTTATTAGATGCTCTTTCACACATCTCTGTTTTTTAAACTCAGATCTTAGACGTTCAAAGAGCAGCCCATCTCTGCCCTTTGTGTTTGATGGCAAGGGGACACCAGTGAAACAAGCAGTGCCATCATCAGCATCCAAGCCCAGAAGGTCAAGGTCACCCAAAACTTGAAATTTTTAACTGCTAGAAGCTGTTAGCCAACCATTCAGTTAATGTTTAAGTTATTTCTTGTACTTGTGTGTACACATTTACAAAATGGCAGTAGATGACACATTTAACTTTTGAATCATGTAAATACAAATATTGTACAACACATTAATGAGGCCTGTCTAATTTAATTTATGTCACTTCTGCTTCCTAATCATGTTATTGTGTTTTTTGTATGATTTATGTAAATAAGTAAAAAAAAAAACATTTCAATGTCCATTTGTAAATATTAGTCTACTATATATTTTAATTCATTTATTAAAATCTGAAATCATTGGGTGATTGGGACATTCTCAGCCCATTACTTACCAATGAGAGGTGATGTTAAATTTGAAATTTACTGTGATGTTGCTAGATAATTTTTGTCTTTTTACTAGAAACAAGTAGAATATTTAAATGGAGGAAAACACATTTAAACAAACTGTATTTAGTGTTGTTGTCCTAAATCTGTTATTCGAAGTAGAAAAATATTCTTCAAATTGTTATTTAAAAAAATACAACTGGAAATTATTTTTACATACAATTGTAATTTGTATAGTTGAGCCATAGTTCAAACTTTCTGTATTTTTATGTTTAACGGAGATGGTTGTATTTAAAACATATCTAACTTAATTGTGGAGTTAAACTATTTATGTACATATCCTGATGGTTCCTTTATACAAAACTTTGTAGTTTTAGCCCCTCAAACATATCATTTTATACATCTAAGGAAAACTTCATTTATGTAATAATTTCTTGTGGCTCTGCCTGCTGAGGTTTAAATATGAAAAAAAAAAAACTTTTCTGGGGTGTGCACATTTGTTGGCCAGTCTGTCTTTTTACCTGGTGTTGGCCAGTCTGTCCACTTAACTGGTGAGTGTATATTTGTTGGCCAGTCTGTCCACTTAACTGGTGAGTGTATATTTGTTGGCCGGTCTGTCCACTTAACTGGTGAGTGTATATTTGTGGCCAGTCTGTCCACTTAACTGGTGAGTGTATATTTGTGGCCAGTCTGTCCACTTAACTGGTGAGTGTATATTTGTTGGCCGGTCTGTCCACTTAACTGGTGAGTGTATATTTGTGGCCAGTCTGTCCACTTAACTGGTGAGTGTATATTTGTTGGCCAGTCTGTCCACTTAACTGGTGAGTGTATATTTGTTGGCCAGTCTGTCCACTTAACTGGTGAGTGTATATTTGTTGGCCGGTCTGTCCACTTAACTGGTGAGTGTATATTTGTGGCCAGTCTGTCCACTTAACTGGTGAGTGTATATTTGTGGCCAGTCTGTCCACTTAACTGGTGAGTGTATATTTGTTGGCCGGTCTGTCCACTTAACTGGTGAGTGTATATTTGTGGCCAGTCTGTCCACTTACCTGGTGAGTGTATATTTGTTGGCCAGTCTGTCCACTTAACTGGTGAGTGTATATTTGTGGCCAGTCTGTCCACTTAACTGGTGAGTGTATATTTGTTGGCCAGTCTGTTCACTTAACTGGTGAGTGTATATTTGTTGGCCAGTCTGTCCACTTAACTGGTGAGTGTATATTTGTTGGCCAGTCTGTCCACTTAACTGGTGAGTGTATATTTGATGGCCAGTCTGTCCACTTAACTGGTGTTGGCCAGTCTGTCCACCTAACTGGTGAGTGTATATTTGTTGGCCAGTCTGTCCACTTAACTGGTGAGTGTATATTTGTTGGCCAGTCTGTCCACCTAACTGGTGAGTGTATATTTGTTGGCCAGTCTGTCCACCTAACTGGTGAGTGTATATGTACTGACAGATTGGTTTGAGACTGGGTGTGAACTGGTGCCGCTTGAACTAATTATTCCAAACAAAAAAGTGTCATTTATTTCCATTTTTCCCCATGTTTGTTAACAGAGATTTGAATTAACATTTAATAAATGTAGACAAGTTTTAAATATGTGCTTTCATATTAAGTAATACTAGTAATATTGTTTTATTTAAAAATAATAATATCTTAGCTTTATTTATGAGTCCCAATTCCATATTATAATGTGGTTTCTAATATTGTTTTTCCCTTTGTTTAGAAGTATTTTTAAATTAATATCTATACAGTAGTGGGCTTAATATTACTGTTTTTTTTAAAATTCGGTTAGGGTTGTTGCTTCACCTTAAATGGCAAATGTACTTGAATGTAGATGTAGCCTTCACTCTTATGGCAGCTGGTATTTGCTTATTACTAGGACTTTCTGAAATTTATTTATTGCTGATCATTCAACTGAATACAACCAACAAAGAAATTTGAAATTGAATATCTATTGAAATACTTATTATTTATAACAAATTATATTTTATAGTTTTAACATTGGCCTTTGAACACAACTTCAAAATCTCATTTATGCTGTTGCATATTTCTTTTTTTTTTTTTTTGATCAACACTATTTTTATTTTTAGTGTACATCATTGAACCATTTTAAATGTTCACAAAGTGAGTGGATATTTTGCTTTCCTAACTTATTCAGGAAGATGTAACCTTAACTGTCCAGTCAATCTTCTACCCATGTTTTAATGCTTGTGTTGTGAATCCCAGGATTGAGAATTGATTGGACCATTTACTAATTGGTTGTGTGCTGTCAACACAGCTGGTTGTTCTCCCTTCATTCATCATCTCATGTTTATTTGCAATCTGTTCATACCAGAATGGTGGTGTCACCAACATTTCAAATGTTTCTATTTTTAAAAGCATTTAATTAAATACTAATCTTTAAAAATACAATAAAGATTTAATTAATACTCACCTAGTTATGGTTTAGTAAAATTAATTTTGTTTTTCTGTTTGTCTCTTTTTGGAAAAGAAAGCCAGAAAATGAAAAAAAAATGGTGATTGAAAAATTGAATTTTTAGATAAAGCTGGGATTTGAACTAATATTTAGACTCTGTCTAGATCATCATTTTACCTATTCAACCTTTACTAACCTGGTGGCTTCCTCTGAGGCCAGTTCCCACCTCATCTTGTAAGATGCAAGCTGCATCATACAACTCAATGGAGTTTTAAAAAAGACATTTTGTCTGAGGGGGTATTTCTAAGAATGATTATATTTATTGTTTTGTATTTCATCGGAGGGAGAAGTAGGGAGTAGGTGAAAGAAATATAGGGAGTGGATATTATTCGACCATCCTGACCATGGTGTCTTTTACGAAGGGCGAATATCTTCACTGGTAACAAGAAAAATGGACTAGTGCGTTTTTAAACGTGGTGGTGTAAAAACTCATCTACTTGGGTTTGACAATGACTACCTGCCAGGTTGGCACTCTACGGATCTTAGCGACAAACAAGTGAGGGGATCGTTGTTCTTCATTCATCCTCCTATTTTAGTTAAAATAATTCCAACGTATGGGTTGGGAGCTGAGTTTCAGAACAATGTGACTTTGGAATACATCAGAACTGAATGTGCAATTCCTCAGCCTGTGTAAAGGGATATAATCAAGCTATGTTGATTTTGACAAGAAAATTGAGTTGTTTTCCCTATACAGTAGTATACAGGGACATTTTAAAAATAATGCAGCTGTTGTTAAATATTAGTTATTTGTTAGGTTAGGGTAATTTAGCCGAACACCAACGGCAAATGCTTATTTAATTCCGCAAATAAAATAAAAAATTAAGTCCATACAACTTACAATCTTTAAAAAATTTAGAATAACTTTTAAAATTTAGTTAGGGCCTAATACTCATACTACTAGATTCTAGATCTACCTTTTTAAAATGCCTAGTGCTGGATCTATGACATAAACAATGTCACTTTCACACATCCTACTCCTCCTAGGCACACATCATTCAAAAATCTCAATCCCTTTCAGGAGTGTAACTCCTCTGTAGAATGTTATATATAAATCGGGATCTAAAATCTCTCTGCAGTAGATCTAGGTCTATTTTGCAATTTTCTGATATTTTGTTCTGGCAACAGTTGCAGACCACATCAGTGATCAAAATCAAATAGGCCTAACTAGACGCTATACTAAAACTAAAATAGCGACAGAGGTAGATTATAGATCTAGTTACTAGATCTAGATCTAGTATTACTAGATCTAGACTAGATTCTATAATAAAATAATATTAATGACCAACACCTTTAAAAGTTTTACTTTTCACGGTTCGTGTGAAGAGGATTTTATTTCTGTGAAGATACCTGAAGTAAGATTAGATTTCACTAGACTTTAGTCTAAAGCAGAGGCGTAGCGAGGGGGGGGGGGGGTGGTGCGGACCGCACCGGGTGACACCATATAGGGGGGTGACACCAAGGCAAAAAATAGCAAAATATATAGAGAAAAATTTGAGGGGGGGGGGGGGGTGCAAATCAAAAGTTTGAGGGGGGGTGCAAATCGAAAGTTTGAGGGGGGGGGGGGGGGGGTGAAAATCGAAAGTTTATCCCCGGGAAGGGTCGCTACGCCCCTGGGGGGGGGGGGGGGGGTGACACCATTAAGTGCCGCACCGGGTGACACAACCTCGCTACGCCACTAGTCTAAAGTACACTAGTTACTTTGTAGTTACTAGATATCTAGTACTCCAGTAGACTACACTCACTACTAAAATCTAGATCTAACTATTTAACTATTATATTACTAGATCTAGATCTAAATTGACAAATTCTTTATCTATTTTTACTTTTTTTAAATAAGATTCTAGATCTAGTCTTTATTTAGAATACTTACATAATTCATGTCATAATAATCTAGATATACTAGAAGAATAGTAGAATAGTTATCAGTGCTGACTCAGTCGCTCTGTTTTTACTCACATTTAATTTACTGCCCTGTGTCAGTGTGTCTTGCATAATTTTACTAAGACCATCAACCTCATATCTAACACTTTGTCTTACAGAGTTGATGCTGCCAGACTACCTGGATAGCATTAGCAATCATGAGCTCTACCGCTTGACCACACAATCCAATTAATATAAAAAAATTAGCTAAATGTTATGTTAATATATATAAGTTAGTACTTAGTAGTATTAGCTTGACATTCTTAATAATTATTAAAGTCAGCACAACCTTTAAGCTGGTGCAGGTGGCAAAATACAGCATAGTGTTGTAATTAAATAAACAAAACTGCCTTAAGTAACTTCAAATATTGATTTTAAAAATAGTTTGCAGATGCAGCATATGGGCTGTACATATGGCCTTGTGCCCCTGTACTTTCACAATTTATTTGGCTAAACAGAGAAAGGATTAAAGGAAAGTCAGTCCTAGAGGTACATTATTTTTTTTAATACCTGATTTTAACAACTAGTAAAGCTATTTGTTATTTTCTGTTTTAAAACACGACATTAGAAATTCATAGTTAAAAGTATATAATTATAATGTTTAATTGAAAAATTGCTGAAATTACAAATGGGCTTGTCCTTAAATGACATTCACGCAGATGACACAAGTCGACTTTTGTGGATGGATAGCATCTATGTGAATATCCACACTTTAAATGTCAACATTCTTCTTTTAGGTTATAAAAAGACATACATCCAAATGGCTGGTATGGACAGAAGGCAGACAGGCAATTAGCCACACAGACAAAAAAATTCCTCCCTTGTTAGTTTCTTAATATTGCTAAACATGGGTTACCACTTTAAGGGATTAGCCCCTTGTGATATCAAGGTGAAATAATTATTTTAAAAATATAGAAGGCAGCTGATTGTAGCCCACATTCAACAAGGCGGACCATGCCAGTGGCTATGCATGGATGTTGCTACATTATAGGGTGAACAATAGGCTCCACACTACATGAACTAGTGGGAGAGATAAACAGGTAGGTAGCTATCCAACATTTTGAGTGTCTGTTTAATGGCCAGTCTGCATTTTGTCTGTGTCAGCTGTTTATCAGCCTCTAAAAACACAGAATTACATTGATCATGCATACAAAATGTTTAAATTTAAGTGCTGTACTTGTGCTAATGTTCAATGGTAATACATTCACTATAGCCTTTTTTTTTTAAATTTGCGCTAAGCCAGCAATGAAGGAAACAGAAATTTGTTTTATTGAAGCCTAGGAGGATGTAACTTAAACTGTTTGTTTAAAAAATATGCATACATTTTTTGTTTTCTAACTGGTGTTAGTTATGTTTAAAGTTAAAGCAACAATGCTGGCAAAAAGTAGCTTTATTGTTAACAATAACAGGATTATTGTAAATACTGAAAGTATTAATTTGTGCCTTTTGAACATTGATTAGATAGGAGCTGGAACTGCCTTACCAGGCATTGTGGCTGCCAAATGTGGTGCTAATGTCATTCTCAGTGACAGCAACAGTTACCCACAGTGCCTTGATATTTGCAGAGAAAGTGCTCAGCTAAATGATGTACCAAATGTTGCTGTAGTAGGAATCACATGGGGTGAAGTCACTTCAGTTTTAACTGACCTTCCTAATATAGATGTTATACTTTCTTCAGATTGTTTTTATGATTCAAAAGGTTGGTGTATGTAGCCTATATTATTATAAATAAACTGAGCTTTTTTGCAGTTAACAATATAGACAAAAGTTAATTATGATTGGTGTACTTACATTTAATTAATTATAAAGAAGATGGTCCTAAAGATTTGTACATTACCAGCTGTATAACATTTATTATAAAAATGAAGTAACATTATATAGCTATTTAAGTTTTCATTTTGTGTTCATTATTAACACAGATTTTGAAGATGTAATTATGACACTGTCATACTTGCTACACAAAACCCCTACTGCTGAAGTTTGGTGTACTTACCAAGAAAGGAGGTGAAGCATCACATCTTTTTAAGTACTTTTACCTTTTATGGTGAACTTTGTTTTTGATGTTATTTATTTATGATCTTATTGTATAATTGGATGCTTAATTGCATCCACAGTTAGTGAGCAAATGTGATCACAATAAATTGCATACCAACTAACCCTGCAATACTATAATGTATTAAAGTTTATTAATTGTATTATACTGTCATTATTTTAATGAGTAGCATTATTGCAACAAAATAATGATTTTCATAAATAATAAACACCCGTCTATCTTATTTTCGTATCAGTTCAGATAGAAGCATTGAATATTTACTGGACAAATGGCAGCTGATGGGAGAAGAAGTTGACACCCCTGATATGGACTCACTAGAGACAAGTTTCCAAGGTCACACAAAGCATACAATTCATTTATTTATCATAAGGAAAAAACAAGATCTGCAACCACTTGTACTGTAAAATGGATTGTTTGAAAAGTATACCTTTGATTGCAGCTTCTTAGATTACTGTTGACTAATATTTGAATAACATTTATAAACATTTGAATTTCTCTTGTTTTTGTGTAAAAGACTGTGTGTAAAGAGTTAAGTAAAGCATGTTTTTGTTGTTATGTTTATGGTTATGTTTTGGTGGATCATAAGACTTTGTTCTGACAAGTGAGCCATATTCATGAATAATGAATTTATTAAAACAGCAAGGATGATAGCTATAAACAGCAAATTTAAAGTATCTTAAGACTTTTCTTAGAAAATATAATGCTTTTTAAAAAATAATTAAAATAACTTTGCTGAAGTTTTAACCATATCTATTCACTTAATATTTTATGATCAAAACTTATCCAAGAGTAGACATTACAATTTGTAGACAAAAAATAATACAACTCAAAAATGCAGTTTGATGAAATGTGTCTCTATTGCATCCATGATAATCATTGCACACATTCTCAATCAAGTTCTTATAGCACCAACATTTTATTTTCCCTTTATAATAATCCTAAAAAGTAAATTTTTTATTCTCATATATAAAAATACATTTTTAACATAACAAATTAAAAAAAAAATTCATAATGTAAGAATAAATAAGTAAACACAGATGATCATGAAATAATTAAGAAATTAGAAAATAAAGTGATAAAATATCTAGAATCAGGCCACTTTATGATGTTTAATTTAAAATGGATGGGAATGTGAAACAACATTATTTACTTGATATATTTTTTGTCACAACAGACACACAAATGTAGGGAAGGTGTGAGGTTTATTTTAAAGTGTAACTAAAATAGTTTGAGCAGTTTTTAAAACAGGCAGTGTCACTGTAGTATATGAAAATAGCTATTTTACCTCCAAAAAGATCAATGAACAATGTATCAAGGAATTAAGTGTCAATCTTTTTGCTGATTGTTTACCAATCCAAAATTCACAATCTTGGGAGTCAGTACTGGTAGTTATAGTCTATACGGAGCATGGATTTTTTAAAAACAGCATTACACATAGAAAGTTATGAATACTGCTGCGGTGAAATGATTTTTATTCATTTCTACCTGCAATTCCTTTTATAATGTACCAGTACTTCAAATGTGTGTAGCCTATACAACTTAAATAACTTATATGAAACAATATATATCAACAGTTTACACATCATGTTTCACCTGCCCAATCTATAGCCACCACCAGCTCTTCCGTGTGGCTGATTGTTGTTACCCCTTCCTCCTTGATTTCCTCCTTGGTTTCCACCTCCGCCCCCACCCCCTCCTAAAAACCTTGACACAAAATCAGGAGCACCATGTGTGCTCCACCGACTGATGACAAACAAAACAAGTCCAAATATGAGGCCCTGAATTCCAAAAAAGATCAACGCTAGAATAAGGCCCACCAACACCAGAGGTTCAATCACTATATCACCCAAAGTCCACTGTGGAATTCCATATGCCAAAAGTCTCTGGTTCAGTGACTGGAACATATTCACCTGTTGACCTTGCTGTTGGTAGTTGTCATTATTCATGCTGGAGTTGATGCCACCCTGAGAAGGTATTTTCAAGAGATGATAATATAGGACTTGGGATCATAATTAAATTATTGAAATATTTAATTAAAAGCAAGAAAATAAGTAAAAATAGTTCTATGCTTTTTAAAAAATAATGCCAGGAGTGATGATTTTAAACAATTGTACGTAAGAGATTACCTGGCGTACTGGCGGCACAGGTGGTGCACGGTATGTAGTTTGTTTCACCCTTGGGTCATCGTCTGGTACAATATCACCATTAGCTAGAATTTTCACCATTGTATATTATGGATTCTATATTTGTCTGTAAAAAGAAAAGCAACTTAAAATATATTCATTTTAAATATAGTGACACACAAACAGAAGTTAAGAGGGTTATATGCTTTTCATAAAATTTTATCCCTGCCCTCCATGCCACGTCAAAGTAGCTCCATATATTTTTTTTAGTTTCTAAATACAAGTACATTAAAAGATTTCACCTGGTAAGCCAATTTTATCATTTTACCACTTCGCCTAGTAAAATCTTACTTTCAACTGGCATGCTAAATAGAATTAGATGTAATAGTAATTAGACCCCATAGTACTATGAAGGGTAATCAATCGTTTTGAATATGTTAATTCGGTCAAAGATAGGTGTGTGCCGATGAATGATTATAATCAAGCTTAATTATTCTATTATCTATGAAATTTTAGGAAGTATTATTATATACATAGGTTATTTCCAATCCATGCTATTAAAACTATATAAATTAATTATAAGGTAGGCCTTTAACAACATTTTGTGAATTTACTTACTTAAGGCTCAAGACTTAGAAAAGATATATTAAGGTCAGCTATATTTAATTACTAAGTCAGCCGTAACAAGATTTGTATGAATTTACTTAGTATATTACTTTTAAGATTAATTACTTAAAGTCTATAGTCTATATATACTAGTATGTATAGTAATAATCTATATATATAATTCTCTTCTGGGAGCCGTTAGAAAACAAGCTGCAAGCGCCTTCTTACAGTCCCCTCTCTTTCTCTCTATCACTATCACTACCACCCCCACCCCACCCCCCACATTGTCTGGTGAGTTGTGGTCACGCTAAATTAAATGTTTACAAATCCTAGAGCTGGGTTTAGTGACGGTTATTAGGGGCAGATAATTTAGTTTGAAACGATTTTAAACTTACAGGAGGTAACTAAGAGGAGGGTGCTTTCACAGGCGGGGGGGGGGGGGGGGGGGGGGGGGAGTGTAGGGTCGGGGTTAGGGGGAAAGGGGGGGGGGGGGGGTTAGTGTTTTAAAGCAAATATATTCAGTGGCAGCATTGGTACTGTCGATATCACAAATTATGAATTACTGAAAAGTAGAAAATAAAACAACTAAATAGCGGCGTATGATACGTAATAAATGATACGTAGTAAATAGATCTCTAAGTAAACTACTAAGGGGTAGTCCATAAATGACGTAACACTCGTAGGGGGGAGGGGGGGGGTCCGTAATTTTGTGACGGTGTGTGATGAGGGGGAGGGGGGGCAGATGGTGCGACGTCACACTTTTGCATTATAAAACAGCAATGTTATAAAATGAATTTCAGACGTCATTTCGCGTTTTAGAAAACTGTTAATAAATTGTAATAGGAATTAATTAAAAATTCTGACAAGATTTTGAAAAAATATCAATGCTTTAAGAAAAATTTAACTTCAATGTTGAGGGGGGTTGTAGACTAAGGTGTGACGTCATTTTGGGGGGGGGGGGGGTCTGGCTTTTTGTGACGTGTGATGGAGGGGAGGGGGGCGGAGGAGGTATTTTAAAAATTTTAAAAAGCGTGACGTCATTTATGGATGACCCTTTACTGAGTAAGGTCAGCTATATCTAGTAGGCCTATATGTCATTATATGACATATGACCAGACTACTGCTTGGTCTACTACCTAGCAGCTCGACTTCTTACAGACGGGTGTGGGGAAATTGCGAGACGCGAAAAGCGAAATGGCGAGACGGGAAAATGCGAGAAGGGCGCGAAAACGGTCGGTCACGTGACTTTTTTGTCTCGCATTTTACCACCAGCCGATACTTACGCTGGGTGGTGTTGAAATGCGAAGATTTATGCGAAAAATTTACCGCACCCGATTTTCAGTGGTATTTGGTCTAGACTTCAAAGACGTTTCGTTTACATTGTTAAAACTTCCGATTTTTCCGTCGCTAGACGTACTGATGATTTGTCCTCCCCCCATCTTTTGTGTCGACTTAGAATACCACCTTGTTCCGAAACCGACGGAAATACCGCCGACGATAGATCAACTTCTGTCTTTTGTGTGGAACGCCGAGGCCGCCTGATTTACCGGCTTTGAAGATCACAGTGCCCGAATCCGCTGCCGCCGCAAACATATTTTCTATTGTTGCATAGAAATTTTGTATTATAGCCGCCGCCTACGATTTTTTTCTAGCTTTTTTTACCATATAAATCTAAGCACAAGGAAATGCCGACATCATTTGGATACAACAAAATAAAGTGACGTCACCGATATTATCAGTTGCTCGTGCTATATCGTAAGCTATGGGCCTACTTCAAATATTTTTAAAACCAAGTTGAACTTATCTGAATTTTTTGGTTTTGGTGGTGGTGTTATTTGGGGTCTTCCATAAATGACGTCACACTCGTAGGGGGGGGTCTGTAATTTTATGACGATGTGTGTTGAGGGGGAGGAGGGGGGGGGGGTTAGATGTGAAGTCACACTATAAAAAAGCAATGTTAGAAAAAGAATTTTAGACGTTTTTTCGCGTTTTAGAAAACTGTTTTAATACATTGTATTAATTGTAATAGGAATTGATTAAAATACTCTATTTTGACCGAAATTAGACAAGATTTTGGGAAAATATCGATGTTTTAAAAAAACTCAACTGCTGGTGACAACAATGAGCAAGACATTGCCAAAATTACAGAAATGATAAAAAATACAAATTATAAAAAACGGAAAACAGATGTTGAGCGTGCGGATGATGATGATGAGAACATGGGTGCCAGTGTTGTTTGTGGGATGAACGAGGAGGTCAACTGTGATGAGAATGTGAATTGTTGTGAATGTGGATTGGAAGAAGTAGCAAAAGAAAAATGTATAAATGGGAGTCTAATGAACTGGGTTGGGTGTACTATGTGTGAAAGATGGTGTCACGAGGTGTGTTTGAGGACTGTTTCAGAAGATTTTGTTTGTAAATTTTGTTTGTAATTAAAATTACTTAATAAAAAAAAAATTGCACTTTTTAGAATTGTTAATACTTTTACACTTTTTGCAAGTACAAAAATCCATAAATATATGTTGCAAAATATCTCTCCTGCTGACAAGATTATACCAATTCACAATGACACAGCTCACGTTTGTATAAACATGAGCGGGCTAGATTTTTAAATTAATGCCGACTGAGACGGGATTTTCCTCTCGCTAACAAGAGCGGGCGATGACAGTAGCACAGCAACGATGTTAGGATTTCTAAATAGATAGATCTAGATATAGATCTATCTATCTACTTAGTATCTAGATAAAAAATAACAACATACAACACTCGTGTTAAAGGGTATGGCTAAATGCTTCTTTATGTTAAAACAAAAAAAATAATTTAAATAAAGATGGAAAAAAAAAAGAAAAAAAACTTTTTTTCGCAAAAAGTGTCTCGCTATTTACCCTTAATTCCGCAGGTATGTCTCGCATTACCTTCTCGCATTTTCCCGCCTCGCCATTTCGCTTTTCGCGTCTCGCAATTTCCCCACACCCCTTACAGACTTAGTTAGAGTGATCAATGATAATTGTTGATATTGATAAAAGTTTAAAGTAGGCCTAATAATAACAAATAACATTGTTAAGACCTACTAGCAGACTACTAGATCTAGTTTAAAAAAAAAAAACTTAGAAAATTAAAGTAAAAAAAAACAACTAAATTATAAAAAAGTCTAAAACTAAGTAAAAAAACTTAACTGAAAACTCAGAGTCAGAAAACTAAATCAAAAATTTAAAATCAGTAAACTTGAGTAAACCTCACTTCTAGATCTAGATTCTCTAGTTCTAGATCTAGTCTAGCGGATTAGTTTAGTAGAATAAGACACACTTTTTCAGATGAAATATTTTTGAGGAGCAAGATAGTGTCTAGCGTTTATTTAGAAAAATACAGATTCTATAAACTCCAAGTTGTTTTAGTCCACGTATCGAAGTCTGTTTTCATGTTGATATGAACCGGAAGCAAACATTTCAAAAGAGAAAGTGTGAATAAAATGTACTGAATTGTTTAAGATATCATTATCAACACCCATTCATAGTACAAGAATTAATTAAACCTCCTGGAATTCTGAAAACATATCAATTAGAATCTAGATCAAGTAATTTTATTTAGATCTAGATTAAGATCTAGAATCTAGGCATACTAATTGACGCACAGAGAATACTTAACAATATACCAACATATTTGTTACACGGTTTAAATTTGGCAGTTATTTCTCTTGCGGTCATAATACCCGGTGGGGTGTTCAGATTTTTTCGAGGATGTAGGCAGTGTTTCTTCCAGACTTTTTTCTCCGGGGGGGGCACTTGAAATCTTCGGGGGGGCGGTAAACTTTCTTCGGGGGGGCGGACACTGTTAAAAGTATATATTTTCTATATAAATTATATAAATTTCATTTCGTTCGGGGGGGCGGTAAAAATTTTCGGGGGGGGGGGGGCTTCGCCCCCCCGAAGAGATGCCTGGAAGAAACTCTGGATGTAGGGGAGCGGGGAGTGGAGTTTCAGAAAATGTGACATTAAATGTGACATCACACTTTTGTACTATAAAGTTGGTTGTAAAAATTGAATTAGAACCTATATAAGAGTTTTAAAAGACATTTTAAAAAATATAAATGTTAACCGATCTCGGCAAATAATTTTGATATAAAGATATGAAAAGGGGAGGGGCAGTAGGCTGAAGTGTGACGTTATTTTAGAGGAAAGGAGGTTCTGGCTTTCTGTGACGATGGGGAGCAGAGTTTCTTCCAGGCATCTCTTCGGGGGGGGGGGGGCTTTGCCCCCCCCGAAATTTTTTTACCGCCCCCCCCCCGAACGAAATGAAATTTATATAATTTATATAGAAAATATATACTTTTAACAGTGTCCGCCCCCCCCGAAGAAAGTCTACCGCCCCCCAAAAATTTTAAGTGCCCCCCCCCCCCCGGAGAAAAAAGTCTGGAAGAAAACACTGATGGGGAGGACGGGAGGTGAGATCGTTGTTTATGGATGACCCCTTTTTTTTTTATTAAAAACTGGTAAATGCAGAAATATAGATCTAGGTCGATCTACAGAAAAGTTAAGGTACTAGATCTATGGACGTTATGTAAGCGTTTAAATGTTTCAAAATGATTTTCTTAAAAAGTTATCTTTTTTTGCCTCATATTGGTTTTCTTCTATTTATTGCTCCCTGGCTATTCACGCTTCGGATAACCAGTGTTTCTTCCAGACTTTTTTCTCCGGAGGGGTTGAGATTATCGGGGAGCGGACTTAAATATCCGGGGGGGGGGGGGGGGGGGGGGGGAAGAACACTGGGGAAAATTATATATTTCTATAAAAATTCTATTTCGTTCGGGGGGGGGGGGGGGGGAGGGTAGATGTTTTTTCGGAGTTGGGGGAAACAAAGAGCCCCCCCCCCCCCGTCCGAAAAGATGTCTGGAAGAAACTGAGCATAACGGCAGTTAGGCCTATTTAGATAATAGATTGGCAAATGATTATCGGAAATAAGTACATCGGTTTTTCAAACGCCATTTTCTGTACTTCGAATATGATTAATAAAGTGATGTAGCTAGAATAAGCTTATAAATTCTTTGTACCCTTATTTGGCACCGTTGGTTTAACTTTCTAACTGAACGCGAACTGAAACAGAGTTTCTTCCAGGCACATCTTCTGGCGGTGGGGGGCTCTTCCCCCTGGAAACTTAGTCTCCTCCCCCCCCCCCCCCCCCCCAAAAAAAAATTTCAAGAAAAAATTCTGGAAGAAACACTGATGCCCACCGAGAATAACGGACGTGAAGACAGAACAAATTACAATAGAAACCATTGTAAAGCCAGATACAGTGCTGGAAGAAATAATCTCTAGGCTAGTAGTGTCGACTTCTTCATCAAACCATCTGATTAGTAGATATTTTACAAAAAAAAAGTAAAAATAAAAATAAACAACTACGATGAAATCAAGCAAAAGTATTTATGTATATAATATGCACTTCTAACTGTATTGAGTTAAGGGTACAAAAGTAGCCGCCGCCGCTGGTAAGCCTGGGCTACCAAACGATTTAAGAGGACACAATACTTGCAACACGAATACAGCAGGCATTTGCAGTCACAATTTTCTTTAGTTACTATTATCAAAATAAAAGTGTTTGTCTCAAGACTGACTATACGGCCTACTTACGGCCAAAGAAAATTAACATTTATTTTTTATTATTTTTAGTGCATTTTAAAAGCGTTGTTCTTGTTATTACACAAGACTGTAAACATTTGTTATTACACAAGACTGTAAACATTTGTTATTACACAAGACTGTAAACATTTGTTATTACACAAGACTGTAAACATTTGTTATTACACAAGACTGTAAACATTTGTTATTACACAAGACTGTAAACATTTGTTATTACACAAGACTGTAAACATTTGTTATTACACAAGACTGTAAAACATTTGTTATTACACAAGACTGTAAACATTTGTTATTACACAAGACTGTAAACATTTGTTATTACACAAGACTGTAAACAATTTGTTATTACACAAGACTGTAAACATTTGTTATTACACAAGACTGTAAACATTTGTTATTACACAAGACTGTAAACATTTGTTATTACACAAGACTGTAAACATTTGTTATTACACAAGGACTGTAAACATTTGTTATTACCAGACTGTACATTTAGCATAAGCCCACACCGTCAGGCGGGAAAGACAATTACCAGCGTTCCCGCCTCGTTAGTAATCATCGAATTACTGCCGCCCCACGGGCGATTTGCATCACGCCCGTTGTCAACGTCTGCTGAAGAACAACCGATTCGACGCGGAGATCAAATATCAATGTATCAAATCCGATTATTGCCTAATTCCGTCAATCAAGTGGGAATGTTTCTATCGATGCTATCGTCGTGTGCTGTAATAGATCAGGGAATATAATAAAATGTTTATGCCACATCCAAGCTGTTTCCATTTGCATGACGACAGTTCCGGATCCTATTGGAATTCTCTAGAAAAACCTAAACACCGCTATTTGATCAACAATATTTCCATAATCGTCCCAAATCAGCCGGCTATCGACACCCGAAAAAATGGCGATTTCTTTCTCCTCTCAAATTACCACGTTGTGGCGTCCGTCTTTAGAGCTCTCCCATCTAAATGGAAATTACAAGTCTTGATCGGGGGCGATACGGTGTAAGATTGGCTGGGCCTTCCCCCGCCCAATGTCCCCTCTTTCACATGTATGAAGTAAATTAAATTTGAATTAATCAGTCTTCCCGTTAACGCCGTGAACACGGCTGATAATTGAGTTTTCGGTGTTTAGATAGAACCGAGCTTCAAAAGATGACATATGTAATATCGGGGTAATCAGGGGAGCTTATTGAATGCTGGTGGATTACATCGTAAAATTGGCGGCGCGGACGAAAAAGATGGTCTCCTGAGCCTCGTAACTATTCCCGGAGACTGAGATAAAAATCTAGGCGCGGGGGCCGCGTTGGTCGCTGGTCTTGCTGTGGGTGACCGCTGGGTGGACGCATAGAGCGGCGGGGCTGTCATTACCCGACCCTGGTGGAGCTCCACTGTCTGGGGGCGGGCATGGTGCTATTGGTAGAATACCAGCACACTAACATCATCACGTTCTTGGCCAACACACTAACACCGCCTAATTCGTGTACACTTTGGCCAGCTCACCAATACCACCCATTCTTGTGCACATGGTCAGTCAACTAACAGCACAAAAATTCTTGTAATCTTTGCCCAACTAACACGAAACAACTATGTATGATGCAGAGGAGTAGCAACCTATTTCGCGCCCGTAGCGAGCAATCTATTTTGCGCCCCACGTATTTATATTATTTACCCATGTTGGCGAAAAAGCCCCCCCCCCCCCCCAAGTCAGTCCTTAATCGTTTTTAACCCTGCATCACACAAGTAATGTAAGAAAACCATCAATTGAGACAAGCAGCTTTCTATCTTCTTAATTTCGACTATAAGGCAGATCAGAATAAGCTTTTTATTTTATATTTCTACCCGACCTCCCATAGCTACGCCTCTGGTAGGAGGTCACGGATCGCGACTGGACACTGTTGCCTCACATCATTTATGGTCAACACAGCTCTCCTCGCAGTCATCCAGATATGTAAGGGTTATCCAGGCTGTCACCACTAAGTCACCGGGCTGTCACCATTAAGTCACCATGCTGTACCGGGCTGTCACCATTAAGTCACCAGGCTGTACCAGGCTGTAACCATTAAGTCACCAGGCTGTACCGGGCTGTCACCATTAAGTCACCAGGCTGTCACCATTAAGTCACCAGGCTGTACCGCCATGTCACCATTAAGCCACCAGGCTATACCAGGTTGTCACCATTAAGTCACCAGGCTATACCAGGTTGTCACCACTAAGTCACCAGGATGACCATTAAGCCACCAGGCTGTCACCATTAAGCCACCAGGCTGTCACCATTAAGTCACCAGGCTGTACCGTCATGTCACCATTAAGTCACCAGGCTGTACCGTCATGTCACCATTAAGTCACCAGGCTGTACCGCCATGTCACCATTAAGTCACCAGGCTATACCAGGTTGTCACCATTAAGTCACCACTAAGTCACCAGGTTGTCACCACTAAGTCACCAGGATGTCACCATTAAGCCACCAGGCTGTCAGCATTAAGCCACCAGGCTGTCAGCACTAAGTCACCAGGCTGTACCAGGCTGTCAGCACTAAGTCACCAGGCTGTCACCATTAAGTCACCAGGCTGTCACCATTAAGTCACCAGGCTGTCACCATTAAGTCACCCGGCTGTTCCAATTTACCCCTCTAATCCCCGCTGTTCCCTCCCTGAGATTATCGCCCCACCCCCTTGCCCCCCGTCCCCGGGAGACCCCGTGACGGTCGACGTTTTCTGTTAGCCGGCAACTCCTCTGGGTGGCACTAAACCAATCTTTTGACAGCTCGGAGAGAAGATTCCATTAGCAGGCCTGACATCGCCGTCTTAA